GTGTTGAAGAAGGCGGTAAAGGTGATGAACTTACTTCAGTGTGATGTAGGAGGCGGTAAAGGAGGCGGGCTTACTTCAGTGTGATGTAGAAGGCGGTAAAGGTGGCGGACTTACTTCAGTGTGTTGAAGAATGCGGTGAAGGAGGCGGGCTTACTTCAGTGTGATATAGAAGGCGGTAAATGTGGTGAACTTACTTCCGTGTGTTGAAGAAGGCGGTAAATGTGATGAACTTACTTCATTGTGATGTAGGAGGCGGTAAAGGTGATGAACTTACTTCAGTGTGATGTAGAAGGCGGTAAAGGAGGCGGACTTACTTCCGTGTGTTGAAGAAGGCGGTAAAGGTGATGAACTTACTTCATTGTGATGTAGGAGGCGGTAAAGGTGATGAACTTACTTCAGTGTGTTGTAGAAGGCGGTAAAGGAGGCGGACTTACTTCCGTGTGTTGAAGAAGGCGGTAAAGGTGATGAACTTACTTCATTGTGATGTAGGAGGCGGTAAAGATGATGAACTTACTTCAGTGTGATGTAGAAGGTTGGAAGGGTGGTGAACTTACTTCAGTGTGATGTAGAAGGCGGTAAAGGAGGCGGACTTACTTCCGTGTGTTGAAGAAGGCGGTAAAGGTGATGAACTTACTTCATTGTGATGTAGGAGGCGGTAAAGGTGATGAACTTACTTCAGTGTGATGTAGAAGGCGGTAAAGGAGGCGGACTTACTTCCGTGTGTTGAAGAAGGCGGTAAAGGTGATGAACTTACTTCAGTGTGATGTAGGAGGCGGTAAAGGTGATGAACTTACTTCAGTGTGATGTAGAAGGCGGTAAAGGAGGCGGACTTACTTCCGTGTGTTGAAGAAGGCGGTAAAGGTGATGAACTTACTTCATTGTAATGTAGGAGGCGGTAAAGATGATGAACTTACTTCAGTGTGATGTAGAAGGTTGGAAGGGTGGTGAACTTACTTCAGTGTGATGTAGAAGGCGGTAAAGGAGGCGGACTTACTTCCGTGTGTTGAAGAAGGCGGTAAAGGTGATGAACTTACTTCATTGTGATGTAGGAGGCGGTAAAGGTGATGAACTTACTTCAGTGTGATGTAGAAGGCGGTAAAGGAGGCGGGCTTACTTCGGTGTGTTGTAGAAGGCGGTAAAGGGGGCGGACTTACTTCAGTGTGTTGAAGAATGCGGTAAAGGAGGCGGGCTTACTTCAGTGTGTTGAAGAAGGCGGTAAAGGTGATGAACTTACTTCAGTGTGATGTAGGAGGCGGTAAAGGAGGCGGGCTTACTTCAGTGTGATGTAGAAGGCGGTAAAGGTGGCGGACTTACTTCAGTGTGTTGAAGAATGCGGTGAAGGAGGCGGGCTTACTTCAGTGTGATATAGAAGGCGGTAAATGTGGTGAACTTACTTCCGTGTGTTGAAGAAGGCGGTAAATGTGATGAACTTACTTCATTGTGATGTAGGAGGCGGTAAAGGTGATGAACTTACTTCAGTGTGATGTAGAAGGCGGTAAAGGAGGCGGACTTACTTCCGTGTGTTGAAGAAGGCGGTAAAGGTGATGAACTTACTTCATTGTGATGTAGGAGGCGGTAAAGATGATGAACTTACTTCAGTGTGATGTAGAAGGTTGGAAGGGTGGTGAACTTACTTCAGTGTGATGTAGAAGGCGGTAAAGGAGGCGGACTTACTTCCGTGTGTTGAAGAAGGCGGTAAAGGTGATGAACTTACTTCATTGTGATGTAGGAGGCGGTAAAGGTGATGAACTTACTTCAGTGTGTTGTAGAAGGCGGTAAAGGAGGCGGACTTACTTCCGTGTGTTGAAGAAGGCGGTAAAGGTGATGAACTTACTTCATTGTGATGTAGGAGGCGGTAAAGATGATGAACTTACTTCAGTGTGATGTAGAAGGTTGGAAGGGTGGTGAACTTACTTCAGTGTGATGTAGAAGGCGGTAAAGGAGGCGGACTTACTTCCGTGTGTTGAAGAAGGCGGTAAAGGTGATGAACTTACTTCATTGTGATGTAGGAGGCGGTAAAGGTGATGAACTTACTTCAGTGTGATGTAGAAGGCGGTAAAGGAGGCGGACTTACTTCCGTGTGTTGAAGAAGGCGGTAAAGGTGATGAACTTACTTCAGTGTGATGTAGGAGGCGGTAAAGGTGATGAACTTACTTCAGTGTGATGTAGAAGGCGGTAAAGGAGGCGGACTTACTTCCGTGTGTTGAAGAAGGCGGTAAAGGTGATGAACTTACTTCATTGTAATGTAGGAGGCGGTAAAGATGATGAACTTACTTCAGTGTGATGTAGAAGGTTGGAAGGGTGGTGAACTTACTTCAGTGTGATGTAGAAGGCGGTAAAGGAGGCGGACTTACTTCCGTGTGTTGAAGAAGGCGGTAAAGGTGATGAACTTACTTCATTGTGATGTAGGAGGCGGTAAAGGTGATGAACTTACTTCAGTGTGATGTAGAAGGCGGTAAAGGAGGCGGGCTTACTTCGGTGTGTTGTAGAAGGCGGTAAAGGGGGCGGACTTACTTCAGTGTGTTGAAGAATGCGGTAAAGGAGGCGGGCTTACTTCAGTGTGTTGAAGAAGGCGGTAAAGGTGATGAACTTACTTCAGTGTGATGTAGGAGGCGGTAAAGGAGGCGGGCTTACTTCAGTGTGATGTAGAAGGCGGTAAAGGTGGCGGACTTACTTCAGTGTGTTGAAGAATGCGGTGAAGGAGGCGGGCTTACTTCAGTGTGATATAGAAGGCGGTAAATGTGGTGAACTTACTTCCGTGTGTTGAAGAAGGCGGTAAATGTGATGAACTTACTTCATTGTGATGTAGGAGGCGGTAAAGGTGATGAACTTACTTCAGTGTGATGTAGAAGGCGGTAAAGGAGGCGGACTTACTTCCGTGTGTTGAAGAAGGCGGTAAAGGTGATGAACTTACTTCATTGTGATGTAGGAGGCGGTAAAGGTGATGAACTTACTTCAGTGTGTTGTAGAAGGCGGTAAAGGAGGCGGACTTACTTCCGTGTGTTGAAGAAGGCGGTAAAGGTGATGAACTTACTTCATTGTGATGTAGGAGGCGGTAAAGATGATGAACTTACTTCAGTGTGATGTAGAAGGTTGGAAGGGTGGTGAACTTACTTCAGTGTGATGTAGAAGGCGGTAAAGGAGGCGGACTTACTTCCGTGTGTTGAAGAAGGCGGTAAAGGTGATGAACTTACTTCATTGTGATGTAGGAGGCGGTAAAGGTGATGAACTTACTTCAGTGTGATGTAGAAGGCGGTAAAGGAGGCGGACTTACTTCCGTGTGTTGAAGAAGGCGGTAAAGGTGATGAACTTACTTCATTGTGATGTAGGAGGCGGTAAAGGTGATGAACTTACTTCAGTGTGATGTAGAAGGCGGTAAAGGAGGCGGACTTACTTCCGTGTGTTGAAGAAGGCGGTAAAGGTGATGAACTTACTTCATTGTGATGTAGGAGGCGGTAAAGATGATGAACTTACTTCAGTGTGATGTAGAAGGTTGGAAGGGTGGTGAACTTACTTCAGTGTGTTGCAGAATGCGGTAAAGGTGGTGGACTGACTTCAGTTGGTTGTAGAAGGCGGTAAAGGTGGTGAACTTACTGCCGTGTATTGAAGAAGGCGGTAAAGGTGGCTGACTTACTTCCGTGTAATGTAGAAGTCGGTGAATATGGTGAACTTGTAGAAGGCGGTAAATGTAGTTGTCTTACTTTCGTGTGATGTAGAAGGCGGTAAAGGTGCCGGACTTACTTTAATGTGTTGAAGAAGGCGGTAAAGGTGGTTAACTTACTTTCGTTTGATGTAGAAGGCGGTAAAGGAGGCGGGCTTACTTCAGTGTGATGTAGAAGGCGGTAAATGTGGCGGAGTGACTTCTGTGTGATGCAGAAGGCGGTAATATGATGAACTTATTTCAGTGTGACGTAGAAGGCGCTAAAGGTGGTGAACTTACTTCAGTGTGATGTAGAAGGCGGTAAAGGAGGCGGACTTACTTCAGTGTGTTGAAGAAGGAGGTAACGATGATGAACTTACTTCCGTGTGTTGAAGAAGGCGCTAAAGGTGATGAACTTAATTCAGTGTGATGTAGAAGGCGGTAAAGGAGGCGGACTTATTTCAGTGTGTTGAAGAAGGCGGTAAAGATGATGAACTTACTTCCGTGTGTTGAAGAAGGCGGTAAAGGTGATGAAGTTACTTCAGTGTGATGTAGAAGGCGGTAAAGGTGATGAAGTTACTTCAGTGTGATGTAGGAGGCGGTAAATGTGGTGAACTTACTTCAGTGTGATGTAGGAGGCGGTTAAGGTGGTGAACTTACTTCAGTGTGATGTAGAAGGCGGTTAAGGTGGTGAACTTACTTCAGTGTGTTGTAGAAGGCGGTAAATGTGGTTGTCTCACTTCCGCGTGATGTAGAAGGCGGTACAGGTGTCTGTCTTACTTCAGTGTGTTGTAGGGGCGGTCGGGTAGCCTAGTGGTTAAAGCGTTCGCTCGTCACTCCGAAGACCTGGGTTCGATTCCCGAAATGGGTACAATGTGTGAAGTCCATTTCTGGTGTCCCCCCGCCGTGATATTGCTGGAATATTGCTAAAAGCGGCGTAAATCCATACTCACTCACTCACTCAGTGTGTTGTAGAAGGCGGTAAAGATGGCTGACTTTCTTCAGTGTGTTGTAGAAGGCGGTAAATGTGGTTGTCTCACTTCCGTGTGATGTAGAAGGCGGTAAAGGTGGCTGACTTACTTGAATGTGTTGAAGAAGGCGGTAAATGAAGTTGTCTTACTTCCGTGTGATGTAGAAGGCGGTACAGGTGGCTGACTTACTTGAATGTGTTGAAGAAGGCGGTCAATGTGATGAACTTACTTCAGTGTGTTGTAGAAGGCGGTAAAGGTGGTTGTCTCACTTCCGTGTGATGTAGAATGCGGTAAAGGTGGCTGACTTACTTGAATGTGTTGAAGAAGGCGGTAAAGGTGGTGAACTTACTTCAGTGTGTTGCAGAAGGCGGTAAAGGTGGTGAACTTACTTCAGTGAATTGAAGAAGGCGGTAAAGGTGACAGCGGAGCAAGTGGAGAATCTGAAGAAGTTGCCCGGATTTGGAACAGCGGGGGCACTAAAACGTGTTGCCATGATGAAGCCATCCGCATCGTTACAGCCAGCGTCAATATCGTGTTCAGCATTTAGACTGTAACATGGATTTCCAGGCTTAGCTCTTATTTGACAATACCCGTGAAACATTTATTTGGCAGAAGTCGTTGAAACAGTTTTAAGTCATACTTTTCGCAGTAGTTGCTCGAGCTATATATGAGTAAGTAAAAAGTGTATTATGTGAACACAATTCAAGATACAACACGATTATCAAGATGAAAAACAATATGATACATGATCTTAATTTCATGGTCTACCTTTAGAATTCAGTACAACAAACTTTACAATCACGACACAATATGCTGACACAGTTTTCTGTCATCTCAGCAAACATGTCATTGAATATGGGTAGCGAAGTTTTGAGTTTTCAATAATTTGTGTACTTAAGATCCGGGGTAGAATAAGTCTTTAGCAACCCATGCTTGCCTTAAAAGGCGACTATGCTTGTCGTAAGAGGCGATTAGCGGGATCGGATGGTCAGGATCGCTGACATGGTTGATGCATGTCATCGTATCCCAATTGCCTGGATCGATGATCATGATGTCAATCACCGGATTGTCTGGTCCAGACTCGATTATTTACAAACCGCCGTCATACAGCTTGAATATTGCTGAGTGCCGGGGTTAAACAACTAAAAACAATACCAAGACTCATGCATCAGGCAATGTGAGGAAAGGTACATAAAAAGCATTATGGGAGACAATTTTACTCACGAGTGGCCGAGCTCATGGGAAGCTACAAGACAAACTGATCCGTCTTTGTCATTTTCTATCATCGACACACTTAAACGTGAACACGCTGCGCCCTGCAGGGCAAGACCATTTATATCTGTAACAAAGTCCTCATCTTACAAAGTATATATGTATGTGTAAAATGTACGGAGAAAACATGCAGCCTGAAGTAGGACAACATGACCTATTTGTAACGAACAGTACAGATAATATCATTTATCATATAATGGGCAGATTTCTCGATCAGAATGGGTGGGTGACTGTGTTGTGTTTTACGCCGCTTTTAGCTGCCTTCTATTTATATCAAGGCGGGGGACACCTGAAATTGGCTTCAAACATTGTATCCATCTGGGGATCGAACCCAGGCCACCCCAACAGCCCTTCGTGGCAAGATAAAGTCAACGGATTCAAACGTTATCCCTTAGGGTTATATAAGATAAACGTGCAAAAAAAAAAGGTCAGGTAGGTACCTATTTAGTGTTACAAACAAACATGGCGCCACTCTGGTCTATCGGCGATCGAGTCAGAATTAACAATCGGGCGTCTGGACAAATACTGGGATAATTGATATCATACAGGTTTTGGCAACTTTGGAGAAATATATCTGCTAGTTGGTTCTTTTTCCCCAATTTGCAACAGTTGGATTTGACTGAAATATCATATATCTGGTCCTTATCAGAGAGGGGTATGCTCCACATATATATGTAGATGGTGATGTGTTTTCTATTTCTAAGAAAGTACCGTTCCATACACCAGTGATGTCAATTACGTGACAATGTCTTGACGAATCCAAACATGGGTGTACGTGTATACGATTATATCATTATTGGACACACAAGGATCGAGGGTTCGTTAATACATTATTTTAATTTAGTTGTTATTATTTCAAAATATTTATAAATGTAACAAATATAGGAGGGTCTGATTTCAGTTATATAGCAAGACTTTTAACGTTTTAAACAAAATGTTTAGTTCACCGCATGCTTCTCCGGTTTGTGAAATATGGAGTGTTATTATCTTATTTTCACGTGTCCGAATTGTATATTCTTCATTACATTGAAATGCTCAAAATCTACCACATCCACAGCACGTTGAAGGAGGAACCGGTCAAACGACTGTAACACGTGTAGGTGTGAATTCAATTTTCAGGGAAATGTGCTAACATCTTTTTCAACGGTTCATATCTGACCACTTACCAATCAGCGTGCCAGTGTTATTACCAAACAGGTTTCGTCTGAAAAGAAATGTAAACAAAGATACTTATTTGATTACAGAAAGAAAGTTAGCAATGAATCCACGGACAGAGAATATGTATGTATGTATGTATGTATGTATGTATGTATGTATGTATGTATGTATGTATGTATGTACTATGTATGTATGTATGTATGTATGTATGTATGTATGTATGTATGTGTGTGTGTGTATGTGTGTGTGTGTGTGTGTATGTATGTATGCATGTATGTACTATGTATGTATGTATGTTTGTATGTATGTATGTATGTATGTATGTATGTATGTATGTATGTTTGTATGTATGTATGTATGTATGTTTGTATGTATGTATGTATGTATGTATGTATGTATGTACTATGTATGTATGTATGTATGTATGTATGTATGTATGTATGTATGTATGTATGTGTGTGTGTGTATGTGTGTGTGTGTGTGTATGTATGTATGCATGTATGTACTATGTATGTATGTATGTATGTATGTATGTATGTATGTATGTATGTATGTATGTATGTATGTATGTATGTACTATGTATGTATGTATGTATGTACTATGTATGTATGTATGTATGTATGTATGTATGTATGTATGTACTATGTATGTATGTGTGTATGTGTATGTATGTATGTATGTATGTATGTATGTATGTATGTATGTATGTATGTATGTATGTATGTATGTATGTATGTATGTATGTATGTATGCAGTATGTATGTATGTATGTATGTATGTATGTGGAGGAAGTGCCAGTGCTGCTAACACACCCACTTCGGATTAACGACTGAACACTACCACTGTACCTGCTACATATTACATACCCAGAGAAAAGCATAAAATGGTCACACGCCGTTCCCTGATCTGCTGCCGCTCCTGTTGTCCCCGGCGTCTCCCCCGACATCTCACGTATGCCACCGGAAACATCTATGTTACCTCCTGCGTTGACGAAGTTGAAAACCCAGGATGGTGTATTTGCCGTCTTGAACGAATTTTTAACAGTGGCTCAAATACAGTTTCACAATTCATGTACTGTAACTCTGTTACGTTTGTATTGCGACTAAACATGACTAGACCTCCTAAAGTATATATACACAAAATAACTTTGATCCAGAGGATCAACACGGCGTAAGGAAATTTTGTAGCATACCTATCTATTGATGCAAGTACCTATACTGTTATGAAGCGCACATGTGTAACCAGAAGGTAAAATAAATTGTAATTTGCATGTGGTACTTTTAGAATAATAAATGAGAACATGACACATTTCAGTTTAAATATTTAAGTAATATTAAAGTAGAACACATAAATATTATGAAAACAAAACTGGTAATATGTTTTCAGAACAATGACTTCGTGAAACATTTGTTTTCAAGGGGTATTAAGTTGACACAATCATAGCGGTATACGTGGTACTGCTGACATTGATATATCTATACTCTGGTAAAATTATAATTGTTTTTTTTTAAATTTATTTTTTAAAAGTTATAGTTATATTATTGTAACATTATTTTATAATGAACTAGATCGTGGAGACATGCAGATATTGTTCAAATTGAAACCCACAACGTCACGAGAGCGTATTTGTTTTTAACCATGAACCATGCTCCTATATGAGAGTTACCTCCCTTAGGCTAATTTGTTTACTCCTGTTGCCGGACACGTCAGTTTTTCACCCTTTCCAAAAGTGCTAATACCATGCTACACGGTAACTGAGTCAACGTTTCCCGCATATCTATTGTTGTAGGCCTCTCCCCGTCGCTCTCGACAGATAGACCCGCGATACGGAAATGGGTCAACTTTCCACGGCAGCGAAATGGGTCGGAGAGAGCTAGACTGGTACCCTGGCCTTCGTCTCAAAGCTGTTGTAGGCGAGAAGCGCAAGTGCTCTAGCGCAGGCAAACCAGTCTAGGACAGAGCTTGACTCCCTCTGATGATCCATCCCAGAAAAACACTTGCGTGTTTAGTGTAATAATTTACAGTTAGGAATGTTTCACATATATTTTCATAATTATGTATGTATGTATGTATGTATGTATGTATGTATGTATGTATGTATGTATGTATGTATGTATGTATGTATGTATGTATGTATGTATGTATTTCAAAGATAAAGTTTGTTTACTATTACTCATCCCCATGTAACTTTCTCAAACCAAAACAAATATAGAACAGCGCGTGTCGCCCTGTAATGAATATATCCATAAGGGTAGAATGATCGCACGTAATAACCCCGATATTTGCACATGTGGACTTTAGCTATTCTCAATGTTGATTGGCCAATGGAAGCCATATGACGTCACAGTGCTTTATTGGTGAGAAATAAGATATGATGTCATCATTTGTTAATGACGTCACAAATTCATCCCTTTATATTTAGGAGTGTTTTGAAATTTGATTTAGTCCCACTGTAGAGTAAAAACCTCTTAGTTTAATTTGGAACCGTACGCTCTAGCGCGAGGTTCCAAGTTTATAAATAAGAGGTATCTCTCCAGGCGTACGCTCTCCCACAATACCACGGAGGTGGTCTAGGTAATCAGTGATTCCTTATAGCTCGTTGGTCAATGCTCTAAACAACTGTTTGAGGTGAATGTTAATGCGGCAACCCCTCCAGGCATACCAAACAGTTTGTTCGTGATCATCAAAAATTGAAGCACCTACCATAAATATTGTGATCCCTTTCACCTGCACCTGTACGCACACCTGATTAGGGGGCAGATTCGCATACCTCACATTCATCTGAAGACAAAACAACAATGGTAAAAAATGTAAGGTTTTCGATCTGTTTCATAATAAGATATTTGAAAGCTGACATATACTCCTAAAAACAGAGGCTTAACCAGAAGTTATATACATTTTGCTGATTGAGTGAGTGAGTTAGGGTTACAGTTGTGTCAGCTTAATGTGGGAGGAAAGCCCAAAGTGATGATGCAGGTTTCAGACGTATATGGCCTTTTGGTGAACCCAATGTGCATGGGTAAGGTGCCGACAAACCTAGAAACATAATCGGGGCGAACCGTAATTCGAACCCTCAATCATAGATTTCTGGGGTGCACAAGGAACGCAACTCTGCACAGCGAATTGCGGATGAACACTTGATGGATGATGACATATTGCAAACAGTGGACACGAGTCCAGTATGACGGCATTACACGGTTCAGGATGACGTTGTCGTACAGGGCGAGCCAACTCGTCCCATAGGTGTTATATCGGTTCACTTCTGGCGATTTATCTGGTCATGAGAGGACCTTTGCCTTTCTTATACACAGGTAGGAATATTTCTATTACACGTGCTGCATGCAGGCTAGCATTTTCGTGTTGAAAGCTGATGGTAGCATGGTTTATAATGGGAATAACGTGTTGTTTGTACCGATTCCGAAGTCTTGAGACTAATTGATCATGAATACACCAGCTACATGTACAGCTGATAGCGAGTCTTCTGCTTCCAATCCTAGTTCCATTGTGCTTCAGTTAGTCGTGGCATGGCTTCTCAATATTAAATAGTTGTTTAAAGACACGTTTTGGCATAGTGAACCCCCACTGTTGTAGACCTAGTCATGATTTTACAAGTGCATCGATCTCATTCTACTTTTTTATTGTCATGTTGCTGCGTTGCTGTGGTGCTGCGTTTTTATGATTCCAAAAAACAACATACATCTATATGACATATGAGTTTGTTTTCGAAGAGTGGTCGAATCGGATAGGCCTACAATGCAAGATTTGTTTGTTTCGACATTGGAATGACTTGTATTTCCCCACTCAGAGATATGAATTACTTTTCTTCATTTATACAGGTTTGTTATAGAGTCGACCTGGTTTATCCGGACACTTGTGTTTTCTCAAATATTGTCCGGATAAACGAGTTTCCGGATATCTGAATCACCCGTACCGAAATTCTACCGAGGCATACACAACTATATCACGTAGTGCATAATATCTTGATCCAAGGCATTGTATATCACAAATCAATAATTGAACAAGGCTAAATTGCATGTTCGATACAAATAACCATTTAACACAGTGGTCTCATGACACCCGACCCTTTGATGACATGGTTGCTGGGTGTATACTACTTATATTGAAATTGAAATTCATTAAAAAACCAGCCAATACAATGAAACCTCTGAATTAATTTACGGCATGTTTGGAGATAAAACTTACAACGTAGAGTAGACAGACTTACGGCTTGCTCTATGAAGAAATAATACAGTCGAAGGTCGGCCTCAGCTTGAACAGCGTTACCACCAGCGTTAGTAAGAAACCTACAGATAACATCACATGTATTAGGGAATGCGTAAATTTTAAACTTTGCTGTCGACAGATTCTAGATACCATTCGTTTATATGGTCGGTTCTGGAACAGGCAAACCAAGAGATGGCCGCAAGACAAAGGTCTATGACAACGGGGCTGATAAATCACACTTTCGCCAACATTTGCAACCAATATTGTTCAAACAAAAGTCACGGTGACACACAGGTAGAAAAATCACACTTCCGTCATCACTTATAACCAGTATTGTTCAAGACAAAGCTCTATGAAAATGGGGCACGGTGACACACAAGTAGATAAATCACACTTTCGTCAACATTTGCAACCAGTATTGTTCAAGTCAAAGGTGTATGGCAATGGGGCACGGTGACACACAGGTAGATAAATCACACTTCCGTCATCATTTATAACCAGTCTTGGTCAAGACAAAGGTCTATGGCAACTGGGCACGGTGACACACAAGTTGATAAATCACACTTTCGTCAACATTTGCAACCAGTATTGTTCAAGATAAAGGTCTTTGACTACGGGACACGGTGGCACGCAAGTAGATGAATGACACTTTGGTCATCATTTACAACCAGTATTGCACAAGACAAAGATCTATGACAACTGGGCACGATGACAAAGAAATAGTTGATAAATCACACTTTCGTCATCATTTACAACCAGTATTGGTCAAGACAAAGGTCGATAACAACGGGGCACGATGCCACACAAGAAGATAAATCACACTTTTGTCATCATTTACCACCAGTATTGTTCAAGACAAAGGTCTATGACATGCAGATAAATCACACTTTGATTATCATAGTAAAACAGTGTAAGTGGTATTTGGATCTTGGTCTGACGATGAATTCCGGGACATGCAGTGTTAACAAATCCCTATCGTGTACCTCATTGTAGTTATGATTCCAAATGACTTTTTGATTTAGCTATTGTATAATTCGTACTGGACATCTATATACAACCAGGTGTAGAATAAATAAGAGAAAATCGTTTCCATAATGATAACAAATCTCTGCTGCAAGCTGGGTCAGATGTACGATTCCGACTATATCAAGAACATGAGTTCATGAATCAATCTCAGTTTGTGATGATGCCAGGTGTTGGCGAAAAGATGAGAATCCCGTCCCATCGGTGGCACCCGTCACAAACACATGCGTAGACAAGTACAGTGTTCTTCTGAACAAACAAGGAAACATTATAGTACAAGTCAAATTAGGTATTTGCATCAGACATCATTTTTCTAACTGATGCTTCACATTTCCAATGTCCTCCACATGTCTACTATAAAATGTTTTGAAACCCTTTCTAAGTGTTTTCAGTGAATGCTGTAATCCTGATTAAACACATTTTGGGGAAAAGGTCGTGTGACGCGTTCAGAAATCTTCGAAGAAAGATCATGCACGATTGTAGCTGAGAAGTTCTGAAATGTAGACAGGAAAGGCTGGAGCTGTTGGAATATTGCTCGACAAAAAGGAAAGCGGACTTTTAGAAGGTTGCAGTCATCCATTATCCCCGTTTGCGAATGGGACGTCGACATTAATCACAAGGTCACGGGTTGGTTGCGAACCATATATGGGTACAGTTTTCTATTTTGATAAGGGTCGCAAAATATTCTTACATGTTCCAGTCAGCACTGTCAGAGAAAAAGCACAGTTCGAGAATATGCTGCTGGACGTTGGATCTCTTCTGGCGTCCTTGGGAGCTTTTCAGGAGCTCTGCAGAGAAACAAATAATTCAAGCTTACCGTTCCAACAATTTCCTTTAATCACTACTGCAAATCATCTGATATTCCCTGTGACCTACCTTCATTTAGGTGTTCTTGTGCAGGTCCTTTGAACTCAAACATATTTCACTAACACACATTAGTGGTTCTCATCAACAGAACAATATACACAATCATATTTGTATTTGATTATCTCTTCTCATATTTATTTATTTCTAACATTTCCTGATCTAATGTGAGCTTTTCTCAAGGATGCGATTACATCTATATTCAGGTTCTAATGTTTAACACAAGGACAAATTTCGGCCATGTATCTTAATCAGACGTATGCTATTTGTGCTGGGTATTTCTTTAATTCAACTTTATATTCATATCATTTTTAGAATTTAAATGTAACTCTAATACCACCTTATGGCCACGGAGAGCATGGCATCCAGGTTTCTGACTGTGTAAGTATCTCACCCATCTGCCTGTCGAATTCAGGCTTCCTCTTCCAGTAGACGTCATTGCGGACAGAATCGGCTGTAAAATCTATGTTTAAAACGGCGCTGACAACGCTTCGAACGCTTCTCTTGTGTCGGTGTTCAGGCCAGATGTCGTAGGGCGTCTCTCCGATGTGGAACAACCCCGCCTGAGTGTATACAGAGCGAATATACTCACCGCCATAAGAAACGCGAACCCTCGAAACATATACAGTAAACTATGTTTATCACAAACACGCTTATAACGAACTGATGGATATAGCGAACGTATGTTTAGGCCCCGACCTGTTGCTGTTTATATGCTTATAACGAACTACGGTCATAACAAACTAAAGCTAGTGGACGAGACAAATGGTGCATCTCGAGTCATGGATCTGTGACGTCACATGTGATGAGCATCGGTTCTCACAACATACAAGCATGTTGGTATGTGCATCGAACCAATCTAATAACTCTTGAATATGAGTACAGTAAACTACGGTTATAACGAACACGCTTATAACGAACTGACGGATATAACAAACTTAGTTTTTTGGTCCCGACTATTTGCTGTAGTTATGCTGTATATATGCTTATAACGGACTACGATTATAACGAACTAAAATTAGTAGTCCCTTTGAATTCGTTATAACCGTCTTTATACATTAACCGACATGTATGGTATTCGCGTTTCCTTTGGTGGTGAGTATAGACACCTCGCTCAGATCATTGCGTTTTTAAAGCTGGCACGAATATGTATGTCATGAATAGTAGATAATCGTATAATTAATAACAATACATCGTATAGGAAGTACCTCACAAAGAATCCCCAGACTGCAAGTTGAGCATTCCTGATGACTGTTAACTTTGCCTAAAGGTCATATGAATTCTTCATCTAATGGCAGAGTGTCCGCCAGGAGAGCGGAAGGTCCGGGGCTCAATCATACCAAATGACGTAAACAGATGGTACTTGTTGTTACCCTGTCTGGTGCTCGACACACACACACACACACACACACACACACACACACACACACACACACACACACACACACACACACACACACTTACACGCGCATGGACGTCGCTGTATAGGTACAATAACCTTGGACGCGACGTTAAACTCTATTTCACCTCACTTCACCTTCATACTTACAACTTTGTAATCACCCGTTGCAATCTTCTCAACCATGAGCGCAGCATTTTGACTTTGGTCTTTATAGATGGCTTGATCCTACCCAAAATTAAGGGAAAACGGTTATCTTGTATTCAGACATTCTTGATAGCAATCGGCGGATATAACATTAATTTACTCATATTCAATTTACTCATATTTAGAATAGAAATTAAATTAGTCAATAGCAACGAACGTAATGATTGTTCATTGAACTAAAATCGAAAATTCTGTAATTAGTTTTGACAAATCATACACATATTTTACAAAATATACACTCATTGACATCATTGAGAAATACCGAGAGAAAAATAATATTTTATGATGCTTCATTGGTGCCATAATGTATTGTACGGTTTGATGGAAGTATCAATGTACACACATAGTTCTTTTGGACATCCCTGTTAAAAGCCATCTCTCCCCGTCGAACTACAACTGGAATATCGTGATGGTCACGTTCCGATTTCGTCAGATTAAAGACCATACTTCCAGTGCTGAGTTCAAAGCTCAGCACAATACGGTCAGGCATTCCGGATGTGTCTCTCTTGGTTCTGTCATGTTCAGAGTGAAGATGTCGAATGGTCACAAACTCTAAAAAATGAAATGCTTTTGATTACAAAGTCAGAAAATCTGAATTATACAGTAATTATACAGCGCTGGTGATGTGTCTGCGGGACAAGAGCACTATAGTTTCAATCTCATTAAAATGAGATCTTAGTTCTCGCTATCGCTAAACAAAGATCTGAGGACATCCCATTACGGGTCACGTCAGAACGACCTTTCATCCGACCAATCAAAGCGTCGCTTACCTGATCATGAAAGTGACAGTCGGAGTGTATTTTCTAATCATGCAACCTTGGAAACGTTGACACGGGGTATTCCGAACGACAATTACTGTACGTAGGAAGCACTGCCATACACTCTCAACCATATATTAGACATTCCGAAATGTTCGTTTGTTCAGTTTTCAAAATATTAATCGAGAACTGTGTCAATATATTTTTCAAGCGTAGACAGAAATGGAATTCGCCAAGTCGAAACGAGTGCCGTAAAGCTCGAGAAAGGTGCTTTCTAATTGGCTGATGTCGACTTCTTGTTAGTCATTTCAGTCGTCGGTCAAAGTTCGCTAAAGGTCGTCCTGACGTGACCCGTAATGGGATGTCCTCAGATCTTTGTTTAGCGGCAGCGAGAACTTAGATCTGATTTTAATGAGATTGCTATAGTTATGGAGGGTTATTGCGAGACTATTGTTGGTCATCCCAACGTCTACATCCTCACTCACCCGGAACGCTGTGGGGATTAACAATGTTGTTTTTACGTGCAATTGTATGTCAGTGTATAAGGGCGCCGTAACGAACAATCATACATGAGTGTGAGTTAAATATAAGTGTATAGTTAAATATGTTAATGACAGAAAACAAGAACAATCATAAAACACGATCTCTAAATATCACAATCCAAATATGATAATTCAGCTTCAGTCGATTTTCAGTTCACTCAGCCAACCCTAAGAAGGCCCTGTCAGGAAAGCCTTAACACACTGTTTCAACCAACTGTCTCTTATTATCGTATCTATCTATACTCAGGTGTTCTATAACCCTTGGGGAACGTTGCGTCCAGATCATGGAATCACTGATGTGACTGATGTGTGCAATCTCACTTGGATTGCCCCTTTGAGACATCATTGACAATCTTTCTTCTTTAGCTACAGGCAGTAGGACTAAGACCTCATCTCTGTAATCTTAGCAACTCAATAACAGGATTTACGCCTCCTTTTGTTACTTCTGCCAATGTTTCAAGGAAACTTATGACAAGGCATATCTGCATGAGCACCTTCCCATTTTTCAACATGTGTAAACGTTAAAATGAGGGAGTTGTCTTTTACGGCTCTTTGAACAGTATTTCTGTTATATCCAGGCGGGTCAGTTTTATCTGGGATGCCAGCAGGACGCAGTGTTAATTGCGGCTCCTTCGTCGACGATGTGGATGCTACATCATGTATAAAGAAGTTTCACCTTCATACCAACAGGTGTAATAAAATAGAGTCGATTGTAGCTATAGAAATATCGAGTCCGATCTTAGCTGCTGTTTCTTATGATTATTGGAGAGGTTTGTCGCTTTTATTAAAATGTTACCTAACATAATGAATATTGAATTTTGTGACCTACTAATTATTAACTTACGAATAACCTTTCATTTGAATTCACACGCCTGTAATTTACACTAACACTCGCTGTAGTTACTGGTCCCTCTATCAACAGCAAGATGAGATTAATATTAGCATGTTTCATGGTATTGATTGTAAGACGGATAGGTTTTTTAAATATACCGAGTATACGTCAACACATTGAAATCTGGAGACATGAAATAACGATTATACACTTAGCATCAAAATATTTGAAATCGAATCTGGAGATATGAAATACAATGCAACTTCAGATGTGATCTGGTTTCATTGTCAAACAAATGGTTGAGCAAATTAATTATCAAGTCACAGCTACTTGTATATACTTGAGTTGAAACCATAAAAAGGGTAATTTCACTGTTCTTATATTGGAGTGATCTGCGTACACAAGTTATTGCGGTATTCGTTGTTGTACAGGGGCGGTCGGGTAGCCTAGTGGTTAAAGTGTTCGCTCGTCACGCCGAAGACCCGGGTGCGATTCACGACATGGGAACAATGTGTGAAGTCCATTTCTGGTGACCCCGCCGTGATATTGCAGGATGTTGCTAAAAGCGGAGTAAAACCATACTCGCTTGTTGTTGCACCTGTCTTCAATGCATACCTTTGCATGTTCACACAAAAGGATTGGTAATTATCGATTGTGGATAGAGGTGGAATGAAAAGATTATTCCCATTTTCCGAAAACATGCGACACGATAACAAAAATAACATTATTGTAATAGCTATTAACGTTCTAGGCGTAAAGGAAGTGTAGGGTACTGGTCATCAGTGTACATACCCAGAGTAAGTTAAAAAATATGTTAACTTGAAATATTGGTATTTCATTCCCTGAAAGTTTACTAAGAAATGTTAGTGATCTTTCGCACTGAACTTTCTTTGAGACATCTCATGTTAAAATCATTCAATTTTGATATGTGTTTCTGAAGCCGGGAATGTCAAAACATTTCAAATGGTTGACATTTTTGTTTGCAAGATACAATGTATGTCTTATTGTAAAACAACGTACGTCATAAGTTATGGTTTAAGGTAATTGTAGATGTGTACTGCTGTGTATATTTCTGCATGTTTATTAATTCTGTGAGTCCTAATCAGTGATGCTCGGTTAGAGGATATCGAGAGAATGTTCCAAAATTTTAACTTTGGCAACCATGGTGTTAGGAACTGAGAAAAGTAGGTAAGATTGGAGTCTGTGGGTATGAATGTGTATAACATAATCAGTGTGTACTGAATGGATGCTGTTTTAGCTGTCGATGAGACACTCTTGACAATATGTATGGTAATCGTCAACGCCAGAGAATATCCAGTACAGTCGCAACTATCCGCCCAAATTTATCCCTTCGACTGTAAAAGACAAAACAGAAATAAAGGCATATGTGTTTGTTTGTTGCCGACAAATGTTTCACTGCAAATTCTCTAACTCTCATAATATCAACCAATTTGGTCTTTTTGATATAAAATGTTACACCATCGATGTAGCTCTCAATGTTCTGTATATGAATTTAGAAGGTGAATGCAATTTGAGACAATTTGAACAGCAAAAATTAAATCCAGATATGTAAATCATGCATTAAACATGTAGATCCATTTACATCCATCATTTGATATCTTTGGTAAATCCAAATTCATTACAATGGAACAATATTTGTGTTTTTGGCTGCTCAACTAATGCTGGTAGTATTTCACCTTATTGAAGGCATACTACAAGGAGGAATACGGTTATTTTGAGTATGCAAATGCTGAACGTATCTTTCATTTACAAGGACTATTTTCGCAATACCACTGGTCATTTAACTGATTCAATGTGCACATCAGGTCACGCGTTCCAAAATAAGATCCGAAGAAAATCATTAAGATTTGACTTTCACTTTCTGTGATTTCACTGGATATCATCCATACAGAGTGAGAATTTCTTGGGTTTTTTTGTGTGTGTTTTTTATCTTGTGAACACTTTTTTTCAGTTGAGCCTTTCCGCAAGTTTGGGAGCGTACATAAACTGGATCGAAGGGGTATCAAACAGAGATTCTGACCAATGCTAAGTTTGTTCATTTTGTCGTTCACAATCAATACATTTGTGAAGGGTGCCACCTTTTGGGAAGGGTACGCTCACCTTTTCGAGAACGATGGTATTATCACTCATTGCAAATGATACATAATATATGTATTACACTTACGATGTTGTCGGAATAGTAAAGTGAACAGTGCTTAAAAAATGCAGAAATATCTTTTGATTATGGGTAGGTTTTGTCGCTTTGATTTACCATGAAGAAAATATTCTATTTTTGATGATATTATATTATGATCTTTAAGAAAGGTAAGCCTTCTTCATTACTCGAACGTTGCTCTCAACAATTACCGTTATATTTGACATCCTTATTTGATTACTACTAATTGGTGATTTCCTGTAAAATTCATAGGCATGTCTACTCGTATTCATTTCATAACACATTTTAGCAGCACCATCACAAGGTTATGGGATCGGTTTCAACCGCATGGGTCAACATGTGATCGGCCAAGGTCATGACGACCAAGAGTAACCATCCCTGCCCAAGATCGCTACATCTGACTGCGCCACCTATCTGAAAGGACGACCACAGCTACCCCAACCGCATCCAAAATACACGGACTGCGCAGCGCAGAAACCCCGATCAGACCGTACGAAACCGTTTAAGAGCAGCAGGTCTACGAGCAAGACGTCCTGTTCGACGCCTACTATTGCGTCGACAACATCGTCAACAACGACAGTATTGGTGTCATCAACGCAGGGTATGGCGTCAACTCCGTCGAGGGGAAGGAAGAGCACGGGTCTACATACGTCGGGGAGAACGTTACGCCGGACACTGCGTACAGAAAGTGGACAGGTTTGGTGGGGGTAGCGTTATGATGTGGGCGGCTATCTCTCATCATGACAGGACAGGTTTGGTCCATATCCAGGGCAATCTTACGACGATACATCAACGGAATTCTCCTACAAAACGTCCTCCCAATTGCAGCTAACGGCAACGGTGTATTCCAACAGGACAACGCTCGATCGCATTCAGCATGGATCACAAGAGTATGTCTTCACAAGAACAACGTTGATGTTTTCCCCTGGCCCTCCCGATCCCCAGATTTGAATCCGATAGAGCACCCGTGGGATGAATTGGATAGACGGATACGCCGTCAGTTGGCTTTTGCGTTGCAGGCCGAGTGGGCAACCATTTCCCAGGATGTGAATCGCAAGGAGATGTCTGGCCGCTTTCGATTCAAACGGGGGACATGCGCGTTATTGCTGGTAGCTGTCCATCATCTTTTCCTGTCTACCGATACCTGAGATGACTACAATCACCAAGTGTTCACTCCACAACATTTTGGCTCCTCGTATAAATGTATTTTCCTACCTCACACAAATCTGGCTTTGCGTTTCTGGCTTTGAGTATATGTTGTTTACATAATGGAGATTGAAAATGTTGAGTGTCACATTGCAACTGGCTTGTCAAATGCAAACGGAAACATACAAGACAAACATGATACAAGCGACGAAAATGAAGACACACTCGAAACAGATACTAAAGGGGACATTGGAGAAATATCCTACCAAAGGGTTCATCGTAGCTTCATATATGAATCAATTACATGAAGTCTAAAATAAACCCGCCGCTACGTGGCTGTAATAGTGCCGATGCGGCGTTAAACTCACCCCCCTTAGTACCTCAACTCATATAAAAGGCACGGGTTTCTGAAAAGCAAAGGGAATCAGTTTACTATTTGGCGGAAAGACGTGCGGAATTATTAATCGGAGTTCTGCTTCAGAAACTATGCCATACTTGGGATTCTTTTCTCCCTGGAATTTGCAATCGGGTAAAGTGATGCCACATGAATAGCTTAAGCTAATCACGTTTCATTATATTTTTAAAACAAGATAAGCTAGCATCAGCTGAGGGATCAACCATTTTATATTCTGGTCTGGCATTTTATCGAAAAAAAATATTAATTGTCTCGAAAATTCTTGAAATAGGTAATTATGCTTCAGACTGTTAAAAAATAGAAATTGTCTGGCACTGAATTTCATTGTTGTAAGGTGCAAAAAACATGCAGCTGCAGCTGAAACAATATGTATACTCCATACAAAATCCTAGCACCATCAGAATATCAAACACGATAAACTATTCGCATTACAAACAATATATACGTAACAAAAGACTGCAATAAACGTCAGAAAAGGTTTTACAAATGTGAGAGCTTAAGTAAAACTCAAACGTAAGGCTCACCCAAATTAATCTACACCTTTTTGTTTATCTTTATCTAGATCTGCACATGATTTTCCTTAGATTGATATAAGAGATTGAGTGAGTGAATTGGGTTTAACGCCGCTTTTAACAGAATTCCAGTTATATCACGGCGTGTCAGCTTAATGTGGGAGGAAAGCCCGAAGTGATGCAGCTCTTAGACGTTTACCACTTCGGTGAAAGTCACATGGATATGGTGCTGACAAACCCAGAAACATAATCGAGGCGAACCGGGATTCGAACCCACAATCATAGGTTTCTGGCGTGGCCAAGGGACGCAAGTCTGCACAGCGAATCGCGGCGCCTTAGACGACGGGGCCACCCGTGCCCCCCCTCCCCACGATTAGAGGTTGAGTCGAACTCAACTGGTAGTATATCTTTATGTTGGAAATGTCATATGTTTATGCCATTATTAATCCAAACAACTAAAGATTATTTTCAGTAAATGTGGCTAGAAAAACTAAGAAATAGCAAATGTACATATACCTATTCTCTCTTCAAACAACAATTTATACTGGAACCATCTGTTACCATTAAAAAACTTCGAGTATCGCTAGCGCAGTTCAGAGCAGGTTACTATAATTTAAAGATATATAAAGGTATATTTTTAAAGTCTAACAATATCTGTACATCTTGTAACCTTAATGTTGTAGAAAATGAGTATCGTTTATGCTTGTGTGTAAATTCAATCTACAATTAAGAAACAATTATATTCCAAGGATGTTTACATCTTATCCCAATATCAATTTGTTCAATACTCATGTTAACCTCAAATATTACTTTCTTACAAAACATTGTATTGTACATACACCGTGCATTGTTAGTTAGAAGAAACACGCATACCTTGTAAATACGTTGAACTATGGGCCTATGGCCTTTCAGTTTGCAATGAATAAACAATTTGAGTACTTTTATGGCAATGATAAAGTGGAATTGGTTACCGGTATCGGATCGGATGTTTCCATTGTAATGCGGCAGACCAACAACTGACGACACTAAGACGCAAAAAGCTAGAGCGTACATGATCGCAGATGGAAGAGGAGTGACGGGAGAAAAGACTTAAATTTTCTTTTTATGTGGCCCCCAACCTACTGATAAGATTAGTTATATTTTAAGTATCATCCTCTGGCAACAGATTAACCGATGACTGATGAACCGAGTAACTGAAGATACCGCTTGTCATCTTTGCAAAAAATGCTTCTTCTTTCAGTAACAATTCACCTGTCATGTATATGTGTTTAATGTGAAAGTAGAATGTGAATTCAAAGTTGACGATAATGACTAACCTGTTTGCCGTGAATGCGTCTGTTCGGCAATGACGCATCTCGCATAATGTTTCCATTTAAATTTTATTTTAGAGATTTCTCGAGTTTTATGGGTATATCGTTATAAGTATGGACAGATTATTCGCGACTCACATGAGTTGCATAGGACAGTATGCACACACTTTAGTGACATCATAAGTTTATGGACTTCAAGATTATATCATGTTTTTAACAAGAAACTTACATCAAATAATATTTTTATTGACAAAGTAACATGGAGAATATGTGAAACAATTATTAAGGCAACAATCATTGCATTATCAAAGGAAATTAATGTCACCTTTACATTTTTTTCTGCTGCTCTCTGTCATTTTTAATCGTGACTGCAAAATACAGTTAGTATTGCTAGTAGTTGTACGCAGTACCCTGGAACCGCTCCTGGCTTCTGATTGGTCGAGATGATCTGTGACGTCACTTCCGGTTTCGGTTTGGTCACGTGACTGGGCATGCGCACAGGGCATGATGGGACTTGCGTGCGCACATAAGATGGCGGCACATCCGTTTCCGGTGGCGCGCATCCAAGATGGTGGCACATCCGTTTCCGGTGGCGTGCGCATCCAAGATGGCGTCGCATCCGTGTCCGGTGGCGCGCGCCTCCAAGATGGCGTCGCATCCGTTTCCGGGGAGGAGGGATGGGGGAAAAACCCAGAGAAACGGTCGTACAAGGTGAACAAGATCGACATGGTTGTTGTTCTTTTGTTGTTCTAAGAATAGAAATAGAAAAGGTGGTGGTGGTGCAGGGAGGGAGGAGGAGGAGGGAGGGAGGAGGGATTCAGGGAGGGAGGAAGGCGGGAAGGGAGTCGGGTTCTTTGTTTTGTTTTGTTTTGGTGGATGGGTGGGTGGCGATGGCATGTGGAGATGATCGCTCACTGAGACGAGCTTATCATACACAGTCGACGACTCTGCCACTTTGTTGCTAGGTTGACGTCATATCGGCGAAGGATCTTGCAACAACATGTCACAAATCATGTCATCGGGTATGGTGATGTGTTTGTCAACTTTGAGGTGTAAGGTTTCGTTCCACAAGGCGATCGTGTATTGTAGCCCATGATGACAGCCGTTCGTCTAAGTTAAAAGTCGGGGAGTGGCGAATTTAAAGGGGCTCAAGGTGTTGGCTGAATTCTAACGGTGAATCGACAGGCACAGACATGAACGTGTTGTAGGTATATGCCTACGTGAAGAACTTCGTGTCACCCCCATGCAAACGTGGTGCCACGCGTGACGACAAACAGACGTTGACGTTGATCCATAGGATGATTATTATCATTTATTTATTCATGATACCGAGGTGCTGGCACTCGTGTAGGTTGACAGGTGTACTGTCATTCGTGTTGCCAGGCACCCGTAGTGTTTCACGCGTGTTGCCAGGCAAAACGTGGTGTCCTCTGTGTGTGTGTGTGTGTGTGTGTGTGTGTGTTTAAACAGACGTTGACGTTGATCCATAGGATGAACATTATTATGAATGACGCCGAGGAGTCGGTACTCGCGTAGGTCGACAGGCGTACTGTCATTCGTGTCTCCATGCACACGTCATGTACGTCGTGTGTTGTCATGCAAAACGTCATGTACTTCATGTTGCCATGCAATCGTGATGTCATGCGTGTGTGTCTTCAAACACACGTTGATCCACAGGATTATTGATCCTATTTTGTATTTTATAAGGAGAGAGAGAGAGAGAGAGATCGATAGACATACGTGGTGTTTGACTCGTGTCTCCAGGCACACGTGGTGTTTCACGCATCTCTATTTCTATATATTTATTTTATCATTTGGAGACGTACCATGGTGGTGTCAGGCGTAGGCGTGTGCCTCCAAGAGGACGAGGGGGAGGGTGGGGGTTCTTTTGGATGGTTGTTGTTTGGGTTGGCAAAGCAAGCAGGGTGGGTGTCGATGGCGTGTGGAAATGATAGATCACTGAGACGAGTTTATCAAAGTTATCATACACAGTCGACGACTCTGCCACTCTGTTGCTAGGTTGACACCACATCGGTGAAAGATCTTGCTACAACATGCCACAAATGACGTCATCGACTATGATGATGTGATTGTAAACTTTGAGATGTAAGGTTTTGTTCCACAAGGCGGGCGTATTGTAGCACAAGGACAATCGTTCGTTTAAGCAACAGGGAATGAGTGGCGAAAAGGTGCTCAAGGTGTTGCCTGAATTTCTAAAGGTGAATCGACAGGCACAGACATGTAGGAATGCAGGGAGCGATCGAAATGGTGCCTGTTTTGATTGGTCCAACACGCTGCGCGCTGATTGGTCCGTTCCGGCGCCTGACTTTCACCTCGGTTTTCCAAACTGGCCCGGCCCTTGTGTTTCTTGTTCATAGGAAAAGTGATGACCAGAGAGTGTCTATCTTATTTAAGACACTGTCGACCTGTTTCCTGATTGAACGACAACCCAAGCTTCTGATGGGTAACCATTTTTTATCCTGTTTTTCTCCCTGGGGTGAGCATGCTGATTTCTCCATCCTAAAAAACACAACACAATTCATTTTTTCAACTTTTAGAGTGGATCGAAAGGGCTCCTGTTTTGATGGCTCCAAAACGCGACACGCCGATGGATCCGTTTCGATGCCTGGACTGAGCCTCAGTTTTTCAAATGGGTCCGACTGTTGTGTTTGTTTTTTTTCATAGGAAAAAAATGTATTTTCCATGGGAGAGAAAGCACAACTCGGCTTGGGTGCTGTCTTCTGATTGGTCGGTGCTGTCTTCTGATTGGTCAGATTTTCGACCAATCAGAGACCTTCTATAAATAGATCCTCTTTTCTGTGTATATAAAGGAAGGGCTGACGTTCATCAGACACTCATCGCCACCATGACGGACACGCAGAGTTCACCCTATCGTTTGGAGAGGAAAGACATCACCCGCTCCAGACGATTAATAACCGCTAACCATACCTATCGTTTGACTTTCAACCCAGACTACTTGGACACCGTACCACCGGAACGCGTTCCCATGGAACTGCCAGTTTTATTTGACAGAGTCATCGATGACTTTTATGAACAGATGTCAGGCCAGAAGGGAGATCGTATTGGTCTAGATATCGATCATCCCGCTTTGAACATCCCCATACGGATTCCCTTTCGTCGCTTTGAAGATCTCCATGGGCTCGATATTTTGCATGCCGTGGAAAAAGTCCAACAGTCCAACAAAGACCTGAACATCGATGCCACCATGGTTATGACTTTAGTACACGTCGCAGATCCCGACAGGCTAGGATCGGGCAGTGGCCGTCATCAAATGAAACACGTGATTGGACTCGAAGCCTTTTTAACACGCAAAAGGGGCATTGTACGGATCAAGAACGAAGATCAATCCTGTTTGGCACGGGCCCTGGTGGTGGCACAGCATTATGCCCAGAAGCCTCACCCTCTGACCCCAGAATGGAAAACCCAGCGAGTGAGACTGACGAGAACGGATCGCGTCGTCGTTCAAGGCATACGGGCACGGGACTTGTTTCGGCGTCTTGGCCTGCCTGAAGGCCCCTGTCAGGGCCTGGGCGACCTCGCACGCGTGGGACGCGCCTTGGTCGCCCTGAATTATCAACTGAAAGTCTACAGTCAAGAGGTGGACCAGAGACTGTTGTACAAGTGTGATGAGGCTCCACCCCACGCCACCGTGCTGCATGTCTATCATCATGATCAGCACTACGATGTCATCACTTCCATGCCCGCTTTTTATAGCTCTAACCATTACTGCGAACGCTGCGACCAACGTTACGACCATCCCGAAAACCATCCCTGCACCAAGGAATACCGCTGTCACCGCTGCCTCCACTCTAGCTATTGCAAGCCCCAGGAAGAGCACGGGATCCCTTGCTTGACATGTCAACGTTGGTTCCCCAATCAATCGTGTTATACTCAACATCTCCAGTCACCGTCAGAGGGAAAACCCAGCGTCTGTCAATCGATTCACAGGTGCCCGACCTGTTTTCATCTGGTCCGCGTCTTGGAGACCCCCATGGTTCACCACGAGTGCTTCGACGAAGAACATCCCAGCTTGGTGTGCCGAGAACCCATGACCCCAGACCATCGCTGTTACATGACGCCTCTCCGTGAAGAAAACGAGGAGGGGGAGGAGGGGGAGGGAGAGGAAGCGGAGGAGGAGGGGGAAGAGGAACAACATCACGTACGAGACAATGTCCAATACGCCTTCTACGATTTTGAATGCATGCAAGACACGGGGGAACACATTCCAAATTTGTGCGTGGTGCAACTGGGATGTGGACGGTGCATCAGTGAAGTCAGCAAGGACTTGTGCGAACACAGACTCCCCCTGCCAGCAAACGGACGAAGAGAGGTCATGGGTGGGGACGTACGCCACCGTAGAACTTCAGGAAGCCGTGAAGAAGTATGACTACCGGGTGCTTCAGATCTACGACGTTAGGCATTTTGACACTTTTGCACAGCATGACCCCGACACCCAGCAAGTGGGACTCTTTGACACTTACATCGATCGGCATTTCCAGGAGAAGCTCGAAGCCAGCGGATACCCCGAGGGATGTACGGATCACGACGCTTACATCCAGGAAATCTACGACAAAGAAGGCATTGGGTTGGACAAGGATCGCATCGAAAAAAATCCAGGACGTCGCACGATTGCCAAGATGCAACTGAATTCGCTCTGGGGCAAGTTTGGACAACGGGTAGACTACAGTCAGAACGTCTATATCAGCGATCCTGTGCAGTACTTTGCCTTGTGGAGGGATGAACGCAATACCATCGAGGATGTGACCGTTGTCAACGAACACATGGTGGAAGTGACCTATACCCATCGGAAAGAATACCAAACCCCTCATTCTCATTTCAACGTCGCCATCGCCGCTTGGGTCACCACCCAAACACGTCTCAAGCTGTACGAGACCCTTGCCCTGGTGGGCCGCAGGGTCTTGTATTTTGACACGGACAGCGTCATTTACATTCATCGACCCCACGACGCGAATCCAGAGCTGGGCCATTCGTTGGGTGAGTTTACGGATGAACTGGACGGAAACACCATCAAGACGTTTGTGTCGGGAGGTCCCAAAAACTATGGCTACGAGTTAATGAACCCCAGACCCGATGGAACGCGCACGACCTGCAAAGTGCGAGGGTTCACTTTGAATTACCGAAACCAACACCATCTCAACTTTGACACCATGAAAGGACTGATACTGGGACAACGGCCTGGGAAAGAGGGGGAGAAAATCAGTTTGGATTACCCGCATCAGATCATTCGAAAAGGACCTCGGCACGAAAACGCACTTGTGACCCGACCCTCCCGAAAAGACTATCGTACCATGTACGACAAGCGACGTCTCGTCTACGACGAAACCACAGGGCTGCCTGTAGACACGCTTCCCTTTGGGTACAGAGACGACTTTCTATAATTTTTTCATGACAGCGGATCGAAACTGAATCGACATGGACCCCCTACAGAAAAAACGGATCGACATCGGACCAATCCGAAGCCTGGGTTGTCGACCCATCAGAGGCCGCGCTCGGGCCATGGTGGGCTCTGATGGGTCGAACCAAGGTTGTGCTTTCTCTCTCACGCTACAAGCCTAACCCTATGGAAAAGAAACACTAAGGACGTACCACACTGGTGGGTGGCGTGTGGGACAGAAACCATCCAATCAGAAGGTCGGATTTTCCACCAATCAGAAAGCAGAGTGTCAGTGTCTTTAAATACGCCCAACGTTCCCTGGCCATCACTTTTCACTGAACGGTCCAAGCAACAACACCATCATGTTCCGACTACTACTACCGTATGACAACAATGGCCACTACCGCATCATCATCAAACAGAAGAAGAAGAAGGAGAAGGGAGACAAGTACGAGGACGTTCTCAATAGCGAACATTTCCGTCGTGCCATGGCGGACATCCTGGGGGAGCAGCTAGTTCTACATTGGGAGATGATGAGAACAAGTGCCTTGTACAAAGCTTCCCATGACTGCATGCATGAGAAGTTAAAGAGTATTGTGGACACATTTCTGCCTCCGGAGTATGGCATCTGCATCCCCAGCATGGAACTCTACGTGGAAAAGTCAACCCCAACACCTGAAGCAGCAGCACTCACAGCATCCATACTCAAAGCAGCCCAAAAAGCAGCAGCACCATACCACAGTGGTAGCAGAGGGGACGTTAAAAGAAACAGACGTACTCACCTCAGCACTCATTGCAGCGTCAGCAGCAGCAGAAGCAGCACCCATACTAACAACAACACCCTCAGAAGCAGTGAAAGCAGCACAACAACTCGACTCAGCACTATGGACAGCGATACTAGCATCAGCCGCAGCAACACCTGCAGCCATAGAAGCAGCAGCAGTAGCACTCGTTGAAATAGTAACCTCACATGCACCCTTGCTGCAGCAGTACTCATCGCAGACAACACCATCAACAACACCCGTAGCAGCAGCAGAAGCAGCCACCACACAGGAAGAAGAAGATGCAGCTGCAGACGCAGCAACAACACCCTCACTAAAAGTATTCATCAATGCACTACAAATGGCGCAATGCGTGGCAGGTGTGAGGGCATCGAAGGGGACACCCCGAGAAGCAGCAGCAACAAAAAAATTCGCCTCAGCACTATCCTGGGCGGCAGCAACAGCCACAGCCGCCACACCCACAGCAGTAGAAGCAGCAACAGCTGCACTCGTCGCCGTAGTAACAGGAGTAACTTCAGCGCAGTCATCATCACCACCACCTTCACCATCACCGATGGACACCTCAGATGCTGCAGCATCCACACCAAAACCAGTGGCAGCAGCAATGGTAGCAGCAGTGGCACCAGCAGTGGCAGACACCACCCCCACAGCCATAGAAGCACCAGTAGCAACACCCTCACCAACAGAACTCTTCGATGCGCTCCACGCAGCAGCAGAAGCAGCCGCAGCAGCAACAACACCCTCACCAACAGCAGCAGCACCAGAACTCATCTCAGCACTATACAGAGCGGCAGTAGCAGCCGCAGCAGCAACACCTTCACCAACAGAAGCAGCAGCCACAGAAGCACTCGTTGCAACATTGAGCAGGCTACCTGTGTGATGACGATGACGAAGGTTGTCATCCACTTTTTCGCATTATTCGCATTATTTCACCTTGTTTGTCTGTATCTAAGTTGTTGTTCATTATTAAACAGGGATAAATTGAACTGACTCTTTGTGTCTTGATTGATCTCAACTCCAGTAGAATGCCGAACCGAGGGTAGAGGTTGAGTTGAGATGTCGTCTACGTTGTCTGTCCGTGCGTCTGTCATGTCAGTGCACATGCTCGTTGTAATATTATATTATATAGTATAAATAGATAAAAGAGAAGGGCCATGTTTGAAAAATCAGCTGCCTGGTAAGACATGATGGAATCCACATGGTGTTCTGACTAATCGACACCCACCCTGCTTGCTTTGCCAACCCAAACAACAACCATCCAAAAGAACCCACACCCTCCCCCTCGTCCTCTTGGAGGCACACGCCTACGCCTGACACCACCATGGTACGTCTCCAAATGATAAAATAAATATATAGAAATAGAGACGCGTGAAACACCACGTGTGCCTGGAGACACGAGTCAAACACCACGTATGTCTATCGATCTCTCTCTCTCTCTCTCCTTATAAAATACAAAATAGGATCAATAATCCTGTGGATCAACGTGTGTTTGAAGACACACACGCATGACATCACGATTGCATGGCAACATGAAGTACATGACGTTTTGCATGACAACACACGACGTACATGACGTGTGCATGGAGACACGAATGACAGTACGCCTGTCGACCTACACGAGTACCGACTCCTCGGCGTCATTCATAATAATGTTCATCCTATGGATCAACGTCAACGTCTGTTTAAACACACACACACACACACACACACACACACACACACACACACACACACACACACAGAGGACACCACGTTTTGCCTGGCAACACGCGTGAAACACTACGGGTGCCTGGCAACACGAATGACAGTACACCTGTCAACCTACACGAGTGCCAGCACCTCGGTATCATGAATAAATAAATGATAATAATCATCCTATGGATCAACGTCAACGTCTGTTTGTCGTCACGCGTGGCACCACGTTTGCATGGGGGTGACACGAAGTTCTTCACGTAGGCATATACCTACAACACGTTCATGTCTGTGCCTGTCGATTCACCGTTAGAATTCAGCCAACACCTTGAGCCCCTTTAAATTCGCCACTCCCCGACTTTTAACTTAGACGAACGGCTGTCATCATGGGCTACAATACACGATCGCCTTGTGGAACGAAACCTTACACCTCAAAGTTGACAAACACATCACCATACCCGATGACATGATTTGTGACATGTTGTTGCAAGATCCTTCGCCGATATGACGTCAACCTAGCAACAAAGTGGCAGAGTCGTCGACTGTGTATGATAAGCTCGTCTCAGTGAGCGATCATCTCCACATGCCATCGCCACCCACCCATCCACCAAAACAAAACAAAACAAAGAACCCGACTCCCTTCCCGCCTTCCTCCCTCCCTGAATCCCTCCTCCCTCCCTCCTCCTCCCTCCCTGCACCACCACCACCTTTTCTATTTCTATTTTTAGAACAACAAAAGAACAACAACCATGTCGATCTTGTTCACCTTGTACGACCGTTTCTCTGGGTTTTTCCCCATCCCTCCTCCCCGGAAACGGATGCGACGCCATCTTGGAGGCGCGCGCCACCGGACACGGATGCGACGCCATCTTGGGTGCGCACGCCACCGGAAACGGATGTGCCGCCATCTTGGATGCGCGCGCCCCCGGAAACGGATGTGCCGCCATCTTGGATGCGCACGCAAGTCCCATCATGCCCTGTGCGCATGCCCAGTCACGTGACCAAACCGAAACCGGAAGTGACGTCACAGATCCTCTCGACCAATCAGAAACCAGGAGCGGTTCCAGGGTACTGCGTACAACTACTATTGCTACTATATTTGTTTCATGGGACATGAAATGAATTAGCGAGTTTTCTTGTGGGGTGGGAATGGCATTAGATGGTAGAAACCCATTGAGTTCGACTTGTGTACAGCAATCATGTCATGTGGATGTAATGACGAAATTAAAGACGTTGGACGTTTTTCTAACCGACGAACGTTCCAAAGACGACTGGAAACATGACTAATTTCCATTTCTCTTTTGAACTAGATTCCTATGCTACAATAAAAACCCGTACAAAGAAACATTTCGTAAGGTTTCGCCAATGTACCTCCAAAACCATGTCTCAAAGATTAAACGTAATCCTTAAAGAGCAGGTCTTATTGGTATATACAACTTTGTAGAGTTTGATAGATCGTTACATCGTTTATGCAAATATCGTATTTATAAATACGAAAGCGTCGCGTAAATAAGGTTTATTTGCGCTTTAGTCATGTCTATCAATTTCAAAGGCTGAAACGAAAATACAGCGGAGGCGGATATAGAGGCCCAATATATGGACATGTTGAGGTTGATGTCCTCCAAGGTTACACGCATGGTCGCACAACAAGCCTGCCCCTCCGTTCCCACCCAAACAAACAAGCCGCGGTTCATGGTCCGCTGCCCACTTTCTCGCAACGCCAAAACTATTCTTCGCCCTATTATATCCATAGCCATTCTCCTATCCGCAATTAAACACTGACCATTTGTACACTGTACTTTCTTCCTATGAGTTGGATGAAACGATTAAAATTGCTCCGTTTTCTGTCAACAACGGAAATGTGACAATAGCCATTTATATCAGAAACTGAGTTCACTATTCGGTTAGAAAACGGTGTGCGAAACATGCCATTTCTTCATTTGCATTTATTGTTATTTCCCTTAAGGGGCGACTATCGGGACACACAAACAAGCACAACGTGAGTACAATTGTATACTCCGCGTCGCTGAAAGAAATCAAACGACTTTAGGAACCTTTGCTGACTGATGTGCCTACTAATAGTAAGAACACACAATATCAACTAGAGAGCACAGTTCTTGATATTACTTGATATTACTTTGAAACGTTTGTCAAAATCAGAAAGATACTCCAATAAATCAGCAAAAGAGCGCACGGTCTGAATTTGTAATCTGCAAGCAAGTGCATTGATGCTTTAAACTGTATTTATATTCTCTAATAAATATCAGTTTCCCTAAATTTCAAGTTTCAGGAACCACCTATCGTTTCATTTCCCTATGAGAACAATATATCATAAATGTTTTTCAATTATACGAACAATATCACAACGTCAAATTAGTCATGCATGCTGTTGTATGAAGCTTCTGCCAAGGAAGAGAACCTGCTGATTTGTATTTCGGGTTACGTCAGTGCGTGATGTTTGCATTGGTAGAATGCACGTACAAGGAAAACAGGAAACAGAAGTGCAATAAACCGAGCCAGCTGTCATCTAAAGTGTAGATATGGATTCTCAAATCCCCAAAAGGATTTACTCGAATTTTTGTAATCTCAGAAAAGAACCAATTTCAAATTTGACAAAACATTTGATTTAACAACTTTTGACTTTACATCACTATCTCACATAACAAACGCAAGAGACACTTCATTCATTGGTGCATATTGATGATATAGTAACATCTCAAAGTTTAAGGCCAATTGGTAAGCAAATGTCATCAGAAGTTTACAGAGATATCAATATGTGAAATGCTAGGCTTCCTTATCTGGGAATTTTGAGGATAGGGCATTTAGGCACGTCGTAGGCATCCCCATGGGCACAAATTGTGCTCCCCTTCTTGCTGACCTGAGTCGGAATTTCTACTCGGATTGACAAGATCAAAACAATTGAATTTAGGCAAAACGTTTAACTTTAATTTCTGATCGACGATTTAATTTCGTTCAACATTAGTCAAATGTAAATTACAGGATATTAAACGAGGTTCCGAATTCATATCAAGTTTTATATCCCAGGTGATATTAACCAGAGCAGAGCTTTAGCGATGAACAGAGAGACAAATTGGTTCGCGAAGGACATTCATTAATATGAAATGAATCGTGTTTTGCATCCGATGTATTATCAGTGATGATTTATCAACAAAATTATGCAAAATGCGAAAGGTATGCCAAATGTAAATATAGTGTCGCTTCCCGCATGCTTATCATAACTTTCCTGTGAATAAAATATGAAAACCGCTGAATAGTTTTGGAAAATCAAACCCGATGGCAAGCTTTTTCTCAACATAGTCATCTTTCATAACGTTTATGTTATAGTTTTACGTTGGCATGACTGACATAACTGATTTGCCGGCGCGACTACACACAGGTAGGGAAGCCGCTTCTGTCGTACAGGTGAGTCAGACTCACGACATGATTGTGTGCTAAAAGAGTTAAAGCAAATTCAAGGAACACTCACAATCTGGCTGATTGACTTTAAAGCCAGCGGCAACCTTTGACATCGACTCTGCATTTAGCAGAGAGTTCTTATGAATATGGAAAGGCTTTTGTTTCTTTGATTGTAAACAGTTTAAGTACTTTGACAGATTGGGGAAAAGTTCTGTGTGACATTAAAAATCCCGCTTACGTAAGATGCTCATTTGAAGCTTCAATTACCAAAAAACATGTGTCAATGAATAAATGTTTAGAAACATCATCATCTGATGTGATCTTTTAAGGAACCAATTGGTTTTCGTATTCTGGAAACCCTGAAAATCGGAAAGTGGAAAACAAAGCGAAAAAGGAATAACACCATTTTCTTTATTTTTCCTAATGCACACTTGCATGACAACTACAAACACATCGTGCATAGATAGGGTAGGCTGCCAGACAATAGAATCAAACAGGTGAAACAACATGACGATCTTATGTGTTTTAAATCTTCATTTAACGTTTTAAAGAACAAACAAATAATTATCTAGAATGGTTTTCTTATTCAATTTTCCGCATCTGCAGACCAGGACTTTTTTACACACAAAATATGTAAAACAGAATGTCTTACGATATGAAAAAGTTGTGATTTACGGTATGACGAGAGGGTTATTGTCAGCAATCTATAACTCAACAAAGAGTTTCTTTGGATAAAGACTCAATCTTCTTTTCTTTTACCAAAATACATTTCACATATATAGATAAAAATAGGCAGGGAATTAAAATACGGATAAGCAGATTCTCCTTCACTTCTGTGAAATTTAAGCAATATTCCAAGACACTTCAGCATAAAATAATATTAAATCGGACAACAGAAAGTGCCACCCCTGAAGTGACACTTGTTCCACTTGTGGTTGCAGTACTTGCACCACTTGGGGTTGCAGTACTTGCACCACTTGCAGTTACAGTATTGGTTGTTGTAGTTGTCCCTGTGGTCGTGGGGAATGCTACAGTCGGTGGCACGACGCCACATGTTTCACAGCATACTACTGGGCTGAACGGACAGCGAGCCTGGTTGCAGGAACGATTCGGATCATCTCCTTGTGGGCAATTCGCTGGAAAGAGTCAACATTGCCTGAGTTACATGGGCTTGTTCTAATAAAGGTCAACTCAGATTCGCCCGGATTATGATTGGTGGTTTGAAAGCACCATCCCCATTCCCTGTTGGTCTAATACACAAAAGCAATAAACGTCTTTGACCTGTCTCACTTCCGCCCTGATGCAGATGAGGCGCTGCCGATACAAACGTATTTATCATCCCCCTTAAAAGCAGCAATTCGCTGTACAGAGCTGTATCCCTTTGGCAAGCCAGAAACCTTTAATCGTGGGTTTGAATCCCAGTTCGCCCTTATTAGTTTTTTTAAGGTTTGTCAGCACCATACCCCTGCTCGTGGAATTCACCAAAGTGGTAAACATCCTCCCACAGTATGCTGACACGCCGTAATATAACTGGAATATTGTTCAAAGCGGTGTTAAACCCAACTCACTCACTATACGACTATGGGCCTTTTATACCGTAACTCAGTGGTGACAGAGATAGGAACTTACGTGCTCTAGCAGGAGCTCCATTAGCCTGAATACACTGGCCTTGAACACACCACTGAAAACAAGAAAGACACACGAGCCATGTTACGATGAAGAAGACAAACCAAATCTGGCGTGTGGAGTAGTGTAGATATTCACAATGAACAATGTACAATATGTTAAAACTAACTTTTGGATATTATACATCACGATTCAAACTGAGACAATAGTTCTTTTTCTAACATTACACTCATGTCAATTAGTCACATAACAGAGAATGATATAATAAACACTGAATTAAAAATAGTGGTGTTCAAAGTGATGATGTTTAAAGTTCACTCATTCACATTTATGTGTGGCCAAATAAAGTGCTACATACCCTCTGATTACCACAGCTCGTCCTGTCTAAGGGGACAATGGAGTTAGGACAGTCTTCCCCAGTTCCTGCATCCACTCCGCACAGAATCGTTTGACACATGTCATCTAAAATTGTAGTTCTCTGAAATGAAAACAATTCAATTAAACACCCTCTTCAAGATGTTTGTGAAAAACATTACATGTGATCAGAAGTTGAAAGGTTAATTAAAGTCATTTGAATTTTATATCTACCTGTAAATCAGAAACTACTAAGAACGTTCTCACTTAAGACCTTGTGATCCTTCTGAAACACTTCTGTTTTCTCTACGATGTCACATCCTTCTACAACACTTCTGCTTTCCTACGGCCTCTGATCCTTCTACAACACTTCTGTTTTCTCTACGGCCTCTGTTCCTTCTACAACACGTCTGTTTTCTCTACGGCCTCTGTTACTTCTACAACACGTTTGTTTTCTCTCTGGTCGTTGCTCCTTCTACAACACTTCTGTTTTCGCTATGGTCTTTTCTCATTTTCCAACACTTCTGTTTTCTCTACGGCCTCTGTTCCTTCTACAACACGTCTGTTTTCTTTATGGTCTTGATCCTTCTACATCCAATCTGTTTTCTCTACGGCCTCAGATCCTTCTACAACACGTCTGTTTGCTCTAAGGTCTCTGATGCTTCCAAAACACTTCTGTTTTCTCCATGGTCTCTGATCCTTCTACAACACTTCTGTTTTCTCTACGGTCTCCGATCCTTCAACAACACATGTTTTCTCCACGGTCTCTGATGCTTCTATAACACATATGTTTTCTCCACAGTCTCTGATCCTTCTACACCACATCTGTTTTCTCTACGATCTCCGACCCTTCAACAACACTCCTGTTTTCTGCCGGTCTCTGATCCTTCTACAACACTCCTGATTTCGCTATGGTCTTTGCTCATTTTACAGCACTTCTGTTTTCTCTTCGGGCTATGATCCTTCTAAAACACTTCTGTTTTCTATACGGTGTCTCATCCTTCTACACCCCATCTGTTTTCTCTACGGTCTCTGTTCCTTCTACAACACCCCTTTTTTTCTAAGGTCTCTGTTCCTTCTACAACACGTCTGTTTTCCTAAGGTCTCTGTTCCTTCTACAACACTTCCGTTTTCCTAAGGTCTCTGTTCCTTCGACAACACGTCTGTTTTCTGTCTGGTCCCTGTTCCTTCTACAACACGTCTGTTTTCTCTACGATCTCTGATCCTTCAACAACACTCCTGTTTTCTGTCTGTTCTCTGATCCTTCAACAACACTTCTGTTTTCTGTCTGGTCCCTGTTCCTTCTACAACACGTCTGTTTTCTCTACGGTCTCTGATCCTTCAACAACACTCCTGTTTTCTGTCTGTTCTCTGATCCTTCAACAACACTTCTGATTTCCTACGGCCTCTGATCCTTCTGCAACACGACTGCTTTCTCTCTGGTCGTTGCTCTTTCTACAACACTTCTGTTTTCGCTATGGTCTTTTTTCAATTTCCAGCACTTCTGTTTTCTCTCTCGTCTCTGATCCTTCTACAACACGTCTGTTTTCTCTCTCGACTCTGATCCTTCTACAACACGTCTGTTTGCTCTACGGTCTCTTATGCTTCAACAGCACTTCTGCTTTCCTACGGACTGTGATCCTTCTAAAACACTTCTGTTTTCTCTCCGGTGTCTCATCCTTCTACAACACTTCTGCTCTCTCCACGGTCTCTGATCCTTCAACAACACTTCTGCTTTCTCCACGGCCTCTGATCCTTCTACAACACTTCTGTTTTCTCTACGGCCTCAGATCCTTCTACAACACTTCTGTTTTCCTACGGCCTCTGTTCCTTCTACAACACGTTTGTTTGCTCCATGGTCTCTGATCCTTCTACAACACTTCTGTTTTCTCTACGGTCTCCGATCCTTCAACAACACATGTTTTCTCCACGGTCTCTGATGCTTCTATAACACATATGTTTTCTCCACAGTCTCTGATCCTTCTACACCACATCTGTTTTCTCTACGATCTCCGACCCTTCAACAACACTCCTGTTTTCTGCCGGTCTCTGATCCTTCTACAACACTCCTGATTTCGCTATGGTCTTTGCTCATTTTACAGCACTTCTGTTTTCTCTTCGGGCTATGATCCTTCTAAAACACTTCTGTTTTCTATACGGTGTCTCATCCTTCTACACCCCATCTGTTTTCTCTACGGTCTCTGTTCCTTCTACAACACTTCTGTTTTCCTAAGGTCTCTGTTCCTTCGACAACACGTCTGTTTTCCTACGGCCTCTGTTCCTTCTACACGGCATCTGTTTTCCTACGGTCTCTGATCCTTCAACAACACTCCTGTTTTCTGTCTGGTCCCTGTTCCTTCTACAACACGTCTGTTTTCTCTACGATCTCTGATCCTTCAACAACACTCCTGTTTTCTGTCTGTTCTCTGATCCTTCAACAACACTTCTGTTTTCTGTCTGGTCCCTGTTCCTTCTACAACACGTCTGTTTTCTCTACGGTCTCTGATCCTTCAACAACACTCCTGTTTTCTGTCTGTTCTCTGATCCTTCAACAACACTTCTGATTTCCTACGGCCTCTGATCCTTCTACAACACGACTGCTTTCTCTCTGGTCGTTGCTCTTTCTACAACACTTCTGTTTTCACTATGGTCTTTTTTCAATTTCCAGCACTTCTGTTTTCTCTCTCGTCTCTGATCCTTCTACAACACGTCTGTTTTCTCTCTCGACTCTGATCCTTCTACAACACGTCTGTTTGCTCTACGGTCTCTTATGCTTCAACAGCACTTCTGTTTTCCTACGGACTGTGATCCTTCTAAAACACTTCTGTTTTCTCTCCGGTGTCTCATCCTTCTACAACACTTCTGCTTTCTCCACGGTCTCTGATCCTTCAACAACACTTCTGCTTTCTCCACGGCCTCTGATCCTTCTACAACACTTCTGTTTTCCTACGGCCTCAGATCCTTCTACAACACTTCTGTTTTCCTACGGCCTCTGTTCCTTCTACAACACGTTTGTTTGCTCTACGGTCTTTGATGCTTCTACAACACTTATGGTTTCTCTACGGGCAATGTATCTGAGTGGTTCGGTCGCTTTATAAGTGCAATGATCTTGAAGGCGACGTTAAACCCCATTTCACCTCACATATCTTGTCTGAAGGCAGTTTTGCCTCTGACATTCCCTGACTAATTAAGCTGAACTGGCCTAATTTGGTCGCATACCAGTTCATTCACATCGTATTGATCATTTCATTGTGACTTTGTTAGATAATTTTGAAATTTATTTTATTTTATTAGAACCGTAAACCTTAAGCTTAGAACCCTGAAACTTTATTTGAATGACAATGGCCATACATTCGCAAATATAAGTAGTTCCAAGGTTGTTCAGCCTTGAAATTCGTCGTAAAAAGTAAATTGCTGTAAAATTAACATTTTCACCCCATTTAACAGATTACGTTGCACCAAAATATCTACATATATGTTTTCGTCGTAATAATATGAATTTTTATAAAGCCAACAAAATCACTTACAGTAAACTACGGTTATAACGAATTCAAAGGGACCACTTATTTTAGTTCGTTATAACCGTAGTTCGTTATCAGCATATATACAGCATATATACAACATATGGCCGGGACTAAAAAATAAGTTCGTTATTTCAGCTTATCGTTATAAGCGTGTTCGTTATAACCGTAGTTTACTGTATTTATTTTGGGTATTGAAATTAAAGGACAATATGTTGATACTTCATTTCAATGTTTGAGAAAGGTTTATGTTTTCCTTGGTGAATCATTTTTTAAAAATATGTAAAGAATTAATAAAACATCCCCCTGGAAGCAAGAAGGATATCGGTGGAAGCCATGTGCAAAGTAATGTAACTTGTTGTGCGGATTGTTACCATATTGTGAAATATTACATGACATGCAGATTCAGAAATATTCCTTTCATTTAGTTACGTTTTGTAAAATAATAGATTATTTTTTGTCGGATAGCCCTCAATATAAATAAAGAAACCATTGTTACATTGTTACACGGGTGACATTATTAACATTGTTAACTGTTGATCTCACATTAAGGTAAGCTACAGAATCTTATTGCTAGTTTTTAAAGGGTCCATACGCCGGCCTTAAATGTATACCCGACAGAAACGTGTTCCAGGGAAGGCCCTTGCACACTGTGCGTCAGCATCTGTAACCTGCCCAGCAATCATCCCATTGGTAGCAAGAACTGACCCACCAGGAACATTTTCTACCAAGGCGCAGTTGTCATTCTGGGTGCTGGAAAATAGTAGAAGCATAACTATTGTAGGTGAGACAACAAGATTGCATTTGGAATTTATTTAAATTATGATCTCGCATGTACTGGGGTATCACTTCTGAAAAACTGGTCACAGGATTCATGATAATGGTTCTTGTGCATACAAATCAAAATATTTTTCTAGGTGTTGATTCACAAGAAATATACGTCGAAAATGTATTCATATCTGGAATTATACACAAATATAAACCGTCAGCGGCAAAGAATAACCGGTCTCAATTATCCAATGAACAGATTCCATTGGGCGTGAAAGTTATATGACTTAAAGGAGATAATAACATGAAAGGATCACTGAAAATCCATGATGTTACCAGCTTTTCGCGAAATGGCCGGTCATTTCATGCATTTCCTTATGCATCTGAAACGTGTACAACTTGGGTTTTGTAGACAGGAAGTGTGTAGTTCAGCTAATTCAGCGAGTCAGCTTGAGGCGGACTTACTGAACAAGGCGTTAAAGGAGGCGGACTTGCTTCAGTGGGTTGAAGACGGGAGTTAAGGAGGCGGACTTACTGAACAACGCGTTAAAGGAGGCGGACTTGCTTCAGTGGGTTGAAGACGGGAGTTAAGGGGGCGGACTTACTTCAGTGGGTTAAAGACGGGAGCAAAGGAGACGGACTTACTTCAGTGGGTTGAAGACGGCAGTAAAGGAGGCGGACTTACTTGAGTGTGTTGAAGACGGGAGTAAAGAGGGCGGACTTACTTCAGTGGGTTGAAGACGGGATCAAAGGAGACGGACTTACTTCAGTGTGTTGAAGACGGCAGTAAAGGAGGCTGACTTACTTGAGTGTGTTGAAGACGGGAGTAAAGAGGGCGGACTTACTTCAGTGGGTTGAAGACGGTACTCAAAGAGGCGGACTTACTTGAGTGTGTTGAAGACGGCGGGAAAGGAGGCTGACTTACTTGAGTGTGTTGAAGACGGCAGTAAAGAAGGCGGACTTACTTGAGTGTGTTGAAGACTGCAGGAAAGGAGGCGGACTTACTTCAGTGTGTTGTAGGCGGCAGTAAAGGAGGCGGACTTACTTTAGTGTGTTGTAGGCGGCAGTAAAGGAGGCGGACTTACTTTAGTGTGTTGTAGGCGGCAGTAAAGGAGGCGGACTTACTTTAGTGTGTTGTAGGCGGCAGTAAAGGAGGCGGACTTACTTTAGTGTGTTGTAGGCGGCAGTAAAGGAGGCGGACTTACTTTAGTGTGTTGTAGGCGGCAGTAAAGGAGGCGGACTTACTTTAGTGTGTTTTTAGGCGGCAGTAAAGGAGGCGGACTTACTTTAGTGTGTTGTAGGCGGCAGTAAAGGAGGCGGACTTACTTTAGTGTGTTGTAGGCGGCAGTAAAGAAGGCGGACTTACTTGAGTGTGTTGAAGACTGCAGGAAAGGAGGCGGACTTACTTCAGTGTGTTGTAGGCGGCAGTAAAGGAGGCGGACTTACTTTAGTGTGTTGGAGACGGCAGGAAAGGAGGCGGACTTACTTGAGTGTGTTGAAGACTGCAGGAAAGAAGGCGGACTTACTTCAGTGTGTTGTAGGCGGCAGTAAAGGAGGCGGACTTACTTTAGTGTGTTGGAGACGGCAGGAAAGGAGGCGGACTTATTTGAGTGTGTTGAAGACTGCAGGAAAGGAGGCGGACTTACTTTAGTGTGTTGTAGGCGGCAGTAAAGGAGGCGGACTTACTTGAGTGTGTTGTAGAAGGCGATAAAGGTATTTATGGAGCATGTGGAGAAGCTGAAGAAGTTGCCCGGATTGACGGTCATGGGTCGAGTAAAAGCCGTTGCCATGATGAAACCATCTGCATCGTTACAGCCAGCGTCAACATCGTGTTCCGCATTTTGACTGTAACAGCATTTTGTCATAAATTACAGTTTCTAGCAGTTTTGCTATATCTTGACAACATATTCTGGCAAAAACACAAGATTAATATTGACAGCAATTATACATATAATCGTACATTAAACTTTCACGTCATTACAGTTTCAGTAAAATTAAATCAACAATTCATTTCATTTAAAATAACATTGGTTCTTTTGCGATGACGCAGGATATGCAGGGACAGATATGAGGTCCGTTTTACTCACGAGTGGCCGAGCTCATGGGCAGCTACATGACATACGGCACCGTTTCTGTCATTTTCTACAATCGACACACTTCGACTGTCACAGAGTGCACCTCTGAAGGCAATGCCATTGATATCTGGAACAGAATCAATGTCTTACTAAGTGTGTACAAAATACAACACCGCCTTTACAATGAAAATCGACAAATTTTATAAGCCATTTGTGTTGCACCATAAGTCCTCAGTGATGGAATATATATAAGACAATGGGATAAATCAAACATCGATATAAGACAATTGGACATTGTATATAAGAGTGAATGAGAGCGTGAGAGAGTAGGGTTTTATGCCGCTTTACGCAAAATTCCAGCAATATCACGGCGGGCAACACCAGAAATAGGCTTCACACATTGTATCCATGTCGGAATTCGTACCCGGGTCTTCGGCGTGACGAGCGAACGCTTTAACCACTAGGCTATATAAACATGACTATACGACAGAGGGATATATCAAACATGGCTATACGACAATTGGACATTGTATATTAGAGTGAATGAGAGAGTGAGAGAGTAGGGTTTTATGCCGCTTTACGCAAAATTCCAGCAATATCACGGCGGGCAACACCAGAAATAGGCTTCACACATTGTATCCATGTCGGAATTCGTACCCGGGTCTTCGGCGTGACGAGCGAACGCTTTAACCACTAGGCTATATAAACATGACTATACGACAGAGGGATATATCAATCATGGCTATACGAAAAGGGATATATCGAACATTGCTATACGACAGAGGGATATATCAAACATGACTATACGATAAAGGGATATATCAATCATGACTATACGACAGAGGGATATATCAAACATGGTTATACGACAGAGGGATATAAATCCTGACTGAAGAGTGAGAGATGAGAGAGTAGGCTTTCATGCCGCTTTACGCAATATTCCAGCAATATCACGGCGGGGAACACCAGAAATAGGCTTCACACATTGTACCCATGTCGGAATTCGAACCCGGGTCTTCGGCGTGACGAGCGAACGCTTTAACCACTAGGCTATATAAACATGACTATACGGCAGAGGGATATATCAAACATGGCTATACGACAAGGGATATATCAAACATGGCTATACGACAGAGGGATATATCAAACATGGCTATACGACAGGGGATATATCAAACATGGCTATACGACAGGGGATATATCAAACATGGCTATACGACAGAGGGATATATCAAACATGGCTATACGACAAGGGATATATCAAACATTGCTATACGACAGAGGGATATATCAAACATGGCTATACGACAAGGGATATATCAAACATGGCTATACGACAGGGGGATATATCAAACATGGCTATACGACAGGGGGATATATCAAACATGGCTATACGACAGGGGGATATATCAAACATGGCTATACGACAAGAGATATACAAAAGACATAGCTGTTGAGTAAAACAAACCCTTAAGGTTAAAGGCGATGTCTTTTCAACTCTGTGTAAAGTCAACTTTAAAGTGTGTGTACGTACCAATCATAGCACCATTATCGATGGCAGACAGTTCCCGCCTAGAAGAAAATATATACTGTGTGCAAATATGACAAGAAACATGACTATTAATACTGTTCTCAATCCTTCACAGCCGCGAAGACAACAAAAATGGTATTTCTACAGGTGAACAGACCTGCAGGTGTGCCACCAATGGGGCAGGATACGCCCGTCTTTTCGCAAACACCTGGTATGGTCACTATTTGCTAGTGATTCATAAACACATGCTCATCATATAGTCGAATCATACACACAACTCTGCTTTTCTTATGATTATGGAACGGTTTGTGTTGCTTTTATTCAGTTTCATATGGTCTAACCTGAAAATCAGTGCTGTTGTTTAATGCAATCGGATGCAAACTGGAATAGATGGCACTTCAAACATACCCGGAGAATAGCATGAAATGGTCACAGGCTGTTCCTTGACTTGCTGCTGACCCTGTGGTGCCCGTCGTGTCCCCTGCCATCTCATCTATGCCGTCGGAGGCGTTAATGGTGCCGTCGGTTTTGATGTGGTTGAAAATCCAGGATGGGGTGTTAAGAGTCTTAAAATGTAGAAATGTACAGTCAAATGATGTTTTCTCGCTATATTCAAACTAGAAATGTGTACTGTATACTGAATATCGTAGAGCAGCCAAAAACGCTAAAATTGTTTTCACAGTGTGCATTAACTGTATAAATGTCGGATTAAAAAAATCTCTCGCTACATGTCGAGCAAACAACATGATTGTTTAATCAGCAATCCGACGTGACACAAAAACAGTCATGAAGTGAGACCATGTTGGATGAAGTCATATTCATCGATGTTATACAGGTCAACTTACAGGGAAGTGTTGATCGTTTTAAGGATATTATCTGTACATTCCATATATTAAAGACAAAAAAAATGGAGAAACACAGAGATGTGCGCAGAACATCCAATATGGTCACGCCTGATGAGGAAAAAAAATATTATCACACCTTGCCTTGCATCTTACTCACTCACTGGTCTTTTCATTATGCAATAAAGTTGGCACTAACCCTGTGTGAAGTGAGATATAAGATATATACTCAACAACAAAAGTTCCTGTGACACCAATATTTTATTGTATTTTTCAAACAAGTTAAGTTTTGGTTTCAGTATTGTAGTACATGTATGGAATCAAGTCACAAAAACGCAACTGCTACAGAAAAGCATGCATTACATGCAAAAGTTGACTTTTATGCAAGCCCCATGCATTTCACTACCCAAGAATGGGTATAAAAACATGTGCGTTAACCGGATTCCATATGCATTGTTTAGCATCGTGCTGACAACAACCACTCAGAAAAACAAGAAAATTACACAATTATTCAACATTACGAAATGCCACGCCTGTCCGAAAATGAGGGTCTGCGAGCCATTGGTATGCATGAAGCAGGATCGAGTCAACGTGATGTTGCAAGACAATTTAACGCCCACAGAAACACCATTTGGTATTTATGGCAACTTTGGCAACAGACGAATGCAGTCAGAGACCATTCTCAGAGTGGCAGGCCACGCGTAACCAATTATCGATAAGACAACTGGATTCGAACAACACACCTACGAAATCAATTCCAGCCAGCAACAGTGACTGCGAGAAGCATCCCTGGCCTTCGACGAATATCTTCACAAACCGTACGTCGCCGCCTCAGATGTGCAGGGATTGTCACCAGAAGACCCGCCAGACGTCCCATTTTGACAGGAAACCACCGCCAAGCACGTCTACAGTGGTGCAGACAGCGTCTACCCTGGACGGCCATGCAATGAGGACAAGTTCTATTCACTAACGAGTCTCGTTTTCACCTCAGCCACAGCGATGGACGGATTCGAGTGTACCGACGTCGAGGTGAACGTTACGTCAATCATTGTGTCATGGAAGAAGATCGGTTCGGGGGAGGCAGCGTTATGGTATGGGCTGGGATTACAGCAAGACAGAGGACCCGTTTGATAGTGGTAGAGGGAAATCTCAATGGACAGCGCTACCGCGACGAGATCATCGGCCCTGTTGTTTCACCGTTTTTGCGTCGTCAGGGTCACCCCCCTGGCCGGCTCGCTCCCCTGATCTCTCACCAATCGAGCACATGTGGGATGAGATGGATCGGCGCCTTCGACGTCAACAACGTGCTCCACAGACACTTCAAGAACTTCGAAACATGCTCCAGCAGATATGGACAGATATCCCACAGGACTTGCAACGCCTGGTCCATTCCATGAGACGAAGATGTGTTGTTTGCATCGCAACCAGAGGTGGACACACACGCTATTGATTTGTAAATTGACATTTTGGCATGTTCATGTTTTTTGATGAAATCACGCATTTTCTGAAGTCAGTATGGCAAACTAAACCATTTGAACACTTACAAACTGTTGCAAACCGAAATTGTTTCAGATTTGGTAAAAAACATAACTTTGCGTTAAATCTTATTCAATGTCACAGAAACTTTCGACACATCTAAATTCTCCGTAAATGCAATATGTCAGTCCAGAAGTATCTATATACACATTAACCTAATGTATATATGAGTGACTAATTCCAAATGTCTCCAGAGTGCTGGGGGCGTTATTATATGCGCTCTGGTGATATCAATATATTTAAGTTTGCTTTTCTTTCTAACTGCACACTTCATTAAGCCCGGATGGCCTCAAGTGTACAATGGGAGCAATATAACGACCACCTGAATGAAATAGTTCCCCAGAGAGAGCAGGGTGTCAGAGGAATCATTGAGGGTGACACAAAACATCTGACAGTCTCTTAAGGAGGGTCATATTAAATAATACACATATTTGGGGAGGGTCATGAAAAATTGACATTTGATTATAGCATGTAAAGGGCTTTTGCATTTTCTCTTTTCAAGGAAGGTCATGATAAAAAATGTACAAGGACATGGGGAGGGTTAGCCAAAAACATGACAATCATTGGGGGAGGATCCCGCATGATAACTTTATTACCCATGGCAATCTTTGTCAATAAATATCTAAAACAAACACGTCAACTGCTTGGAGTGAGTGAGTGTGGTTTTACGCCGCTTTGAGCAATATTCCAGTAAGGGGGGCACCACATATGGGCTTCACACATTGTACCCATGTCGGGATTCGAACCCGGGTCTTCAGCGTGACGAGCGAACGGTTTTAACCGCTAGGTTACCCGACCGACCCCAACTGCTAGGAGATGTTATGGAAGCTAGATTACATTGGATTTTATTGTTCGCCACAAATTAAATCATAAGTTATGTTTGATCATCTTGGGTTCTTTACGATCACAGAGTGAGTCCCCATGACGTCGACAAATACGCTATGCACCTACCATAAATATTGTGATTGCCTTCACCTGCACCCGTACGCAGACCTGATTAGGGGGCAGGTTCGCATACCTCACATTCATCTGAAGACGAAACAACAATAGTGCACAATTGGAAGGAATACGGTAATATCTTGCAGATATAGACTTTGTTATTGGATAAAGAAACTCGTAGCCTAATTCATTTCAGGTACTGGTTAAGGTGTCCAATAAACCTACCATGCAAGAACGTTTGTTTTAATCAGAGAGAATGAATTAGGTGAGACATTGTTGTTCCATGCAGAAGTGTCAGTTACAAACTTAATATGCTTCCACAAGAGTGAGTGAGTATGGTTTTACGCCGCTTTTAGCAATATTCCAGTAATATCACGGCGGGGGACACCAGAAATGGGCTTCACACATTGTACCCATGTCGGGAATCGAACCCGGTTCAACGCTTTAACCACTAGGCTACCCGACCGCCCCGCTCCCACAAGAAAACAATTGCAGTCCCGGATAAACATTTAGAACCTACGGAATGGCAGAGTTGGTGGAAATGTTTTTCCCTGTTGGTGATTCAAGGTGAAGTCCGAGTTGACTTAAAAAGAGAGTGGCTTAAGGTGAAGTCAGTGATGAATAAATTAAAGCAGTTGTCCAAAGTGAAGACAAAGTGTCTTAACGATAGTGGTTTAAGATGAACACAGAGTTGACATAAAGACAGTGGTTCGTGGTACGGACAACATTGACTTATTAATAGTGGTTTAAGAATAACACAGAGTTGACATAAAGGCAGTGGTTCGTGGTATAGACAGCGTTGACTTATTAATAGTGGTTTAAGATGAACACAGAGTTGACATAAAGACAGTGGTTCGTGGTACGGACAACATTGACTTATTAATAGTGGTTTAAGATGAACACAGAGTTGACATAAAGGCAGTGGTTCGTTGTACAGACAGCGTTGACTTATTAATAGTTGTTTAAGATGAACACAGAGTTGACATAAAGACAGTGGTTCGTGGTACAGACAGCATTGACTTATTAATAGTGGTTTAAGATGAACACAGAGTTGACATAAAGGCAGTGGTTCGTGGTATAGACAGCGTTGACTTATTAATAGTGGTTTAAGATGAACACAGAGTTGACATAAAGACAGTGGTTCGTGGTACAGACAGCATTGACTTATTAATAGTTGTTTAAGATGAACACAGAGTTGACATAAAGGCAGTGGTTCGTGGTATAGACAGCGTTGACTCATTAATAATGGTTTAAGATGAACACAGAGTTGACATAAAGACAGTGGTTCGTGGCACGGACAACATTGACTTATTAATAGTGGTTTAAGAATAACACAGAGTTGACATAAAGGCAGTGGTTCGTGGTATAGACAGCGTTGACTTATTAATAGTGGTTTAAGATGAACACAGAGTTGACATAAAGACAGTGGTTCGTGGTACGGACAACATTGACTTATTAATAGTGGTTTAAGATGAACACAGAGTTGACATAAAGGCAGTGGTTCGTTGTACAGACAACATTGACTTATTAATAGTGGTTTAAGATGAACACAGAGTTGACATAAAGACAGTGGTTCGTTGTACAGACAGCGTTGACTTATTAATAGTGGTTTAAGAAGTAAACTGTGTGTGGAGGTCAGGCTTACAACAAGTCAGACTTACGGCTTGCTCTATGAAGGCGTAGAACAGACGAAGGTCGGCTTCAGCCTGTACAGCATTTCCACCAGCATCAACAAGAAATCTATAATTAGATCGTATTCAACCTTGTTACCTTGACGATGATCATCCTCAAATAATACCAAATATGATATATTTCCCCTTTCTTTCTATTCACAAATTACACGCATGCGATGGTTATTCATCTTCTTCGTGAATTGGTAAGTCCGCGATGCGTAGAGCTTAAGTGTTATCATATCGCAGTTTTCTAGACCAACATTTAGTCTATGAAATCTTATATTACACAATATCCTTTTTCACTCTAAAAAAATAAAAAATTCCCCTATGCTGACTTCATATATGTGTGAAACAGAGCTAACTAGAGCTGGCTAGACTTGTTTTTGTATGCGTTTCTACATTGTTTTGTTTTCATGAAATAAATATATTCCACAGTCATGGTGCAGGACTAGGCAGTTTTCCTTATCACACCCCATATTAGGGATGGGACTAGTCAAAATTTACTACCCGGGAACCCTCCACCCTATTACCCGACCCTACCCGTGTACCCGGTGTAGATATTAAGAGATGGGTACAAACTGTCCGATTTGGAAAGGTTTGACCGTAGCCCTGGCAAAATATATTCAGATACATATGTAAAACGATCTGGTCATGCACACACTGAAGTTTACTGCATGGAGTTTTATCTTTATTCAAGCATATAAAAATCAGAAGGAATGGGTGCATTGAACAGGGAACATTAGTGACTTGCATTGTATCCATCGAGTTTTATATATTTTTTGTCATTAAACAATATATCCGGGTAGTCCTGTGGGTACCCGAGTCCTACTCAGGACCCACCCAATCCGAGTACCCGAGTTTCCCGTCCCAGCCCTACCCAATATTAACCCGAGAACCCAATATCAGCCTGAGTCCCCCATATCAGCTAGAGGGTTAATATGGGGAATGATATGAAAACTGTCATATAATAATTAACCTTTTTACGACGTTTCATGACATTAAATTGTAAAATGTCTCTTGTTGTAAGTATTTTACCTTGTTTGAAAGCCATTGTAACGGGAAGGCTAACCGAGCAGACCAGCTCAAAATTCTTACCACCCGTGCTGATATCAATCGCCCATTCAAAATGCATTAAGAAACCATATCAGTCTTGTTTATTACACCCCCTGTGATATGACTGTGTCCATGTTGGCGCTATCACACATACAACATGCCTCATGTCATTGATAGGTATATGAAGGGATATGTTATGTGTTCCTTTAACGAGCGGGGGTTAAGGCTCAATACAGTACAGTAAACTACGGTTATAACGAACTCAAAGGGACTACTAATTTTAGTTCGTTATAACCGTAATTCGTTATAAGCATATATACAGCATAACTACAGCATATAGTCGGGACTAAAAAGTTAGTTCGTTATATCCGTTAGTTCGTTATAAGCGTGTTCGTTATAACCGTAGTTTACTGTATGTCTTTGTGACCTATATGCAGAGTACGCACCTGTTCCAATCGGCATTGTCAGAGAAAAAGCAAAGCTCGATTGTGTGTTGTTGTACATTGGATCTTTTTTGACGTTGGTGTTTGTCTTTCAGAAGTTCTGCAATGAAATAAATAATCAAAGTACTTCATACAAGTCAAAACACATTGACAATTATCGTTAAAGTTAATATTTCTTAAGACATACATACGTGTGTTAATGAGCCTTCAACATCCATTAGAAAAATTAATCAGAGAGAGCAATTGCGTTGATACAAATAAATGAGTTTCCCGTAAGAGGGGGGTGGGGGTTGGTTTTTGGATGGGCGTTTTCATAAACCATAACTGTGTAAGGATACATGTACACCTGTTTCAAATATGACGCTGATGTAAGTGTCTCACTCAGTTGCCTATCGAATTCCGGCTTCCTCTTCCAATAGACGTCATTGAGGACAGCATCCCCTGTAAAGTTAATGTTGAAGACAGCGCTGACCACGTGGACATCTCCGGTGTCTCGAGTGCGTCTCCTGCGTCCGTGTTCAGGCCAGATGTCGTGGGGTGTCTCTCCGATGTGGAACAACCCCGCCTACATACAAACAGTTCCATTACAAAAATGATTTTGAGGCTTTTGTATATTTGTGACTGTCATGAACTTATGACTCTTATGAATTGTTATTATTCGCTTAACGAACAGCATTTCACCGGAGTACTGCATATAATTATGTTTATTCACAATGTTATTGCGGCTAATGTTTGATCATGAATTGGCAATGCCATAACCATTTCCCGACCGCCCTGTGTAGTGAACAGACCATATGGTGGAGCTTGTTACCCTGCCTTGCGCTCGGTATTAATGGGATAAACCACTGGTCAGTATACTGTATCTGAGTTGGGTAAATGCATTAAAACTGAGGAATGGTATCATATGAACGAATCTTGAGCGCGACGATAAACCCCATTTCACTTCAACTCACTTCCTAACCCTTACCCTAACCCTAACCCTAATCTTGAATCCCCATACATACAACATTATATTCATCCGTTGCAGTCTTTTCCACCATGAGAGCAGCATTTTGATTTTTGTCATTATAAACAGCTTGGTCCTACAAAGATGAAAAAGAAAACGGTACTTATTAATATTTTCCGAATAGCAATATCAACTGAAACAATTACAATACTATGTTTTTGAGGACTGATACATTGAATTTGCGATATAATGTCACAGAAAATATCAGTTATATATTTTGATAGATAAGTAACTCTGTAAAATATGCATATTTCCATTAAGAGTAATTCCCTAATACAGTTGGGAGGGAAAAAAATATGAATTCAGTATCCAACATCTATGTATACGAATAAAATACATTAATTTATAAGCGACAAAGTCCTTTCCATAATCATAATAAACATTAGCGAATAGCTTAATCTATTGTACGATTTCCGATGATATCCTGAGCATGTAAATGAGTCGCAATCAAATGGTATCGTGGGGAAACATATTGGACCTTACAATGTCACAGTATAAGACAGTCGGTGAAAGTATTAATGTACATACATAGTTCTTCTTGACATCTTTAATAAAAGCCCTATCTCCGTGGCGAAGTACAATTGGAATATCGTGATGGTCTCGTTCCGATCTCGTCAGATTAAAGACTACTCTTCCAGTGCTGAGTTCCAGGTCCAATACAAGGCGCTCAGGCATGATGGAGGCGTCTCTTCTGGTTCTGCCATGTTCGGAGTGTAGATGTCGAATGCTCACAAACTCTAGGGGGAAGTATGCAGGTACATGTATATATAAATTGTAAAAGTATGGGATTAACCAGTCTACATTATCAACCGGAACAGAATCATTAAAATTTGGCTTGAAGGGCAACATAGCGGTGAAATTTCTATGAATAAACCACTGAAGATAAATGTGACACCAGATGTTCTCGAAAAGGGTAAGCATGTCGTGCCTGCCGGTAGCACCCGCCATTCAAACAATTGCATAGAAAAGTAAGTATTTATTGCCCGATGCCGTATAACAGTGCTTCTGCCATTCGACGGCGGCCTGTAAACACACCAGACAGAACAGCGTGTATAAGCATCGTGCAGAAAGCCATGATGTTCACGAGGCCTGGAATAAGAACAGAGTGAGACGGATTGCTCATGGGTTTCATCTAAGTTGTAAACGAACTTTGCCACTCTGTGCTGGCCACAAACAGATCCGCAGGGATTCCGGGTAATAAAGATCATTAGAAACATATGCTTGTGGCAAGAGGCGACTAAATAGATCGGTTGGCTTGATTGATTGCATCACATCCATCCCAATTGCTTGGGTCGATGCTTGTGATGGCAATCACTGGACATTGCTGATCCAGACTCGATTATTTACAAACCCCTGCCGTAGCTTTAAATAAAATATAACATTGGCCACCACAAATTCCGGAGCAGCCACACTGAGACAGATGCAGACAGTATGGTGTTCTTACGCACCAATCAGCAATATTTCAGTTATGTTTATAATCGAATCTGGGCCAAACGAAGCCGTGGTTGATCCTCTGAACAACGTCCCACACCATCGGGTCCGATGACCAACCCAGTCACCGAGCTATTCGCTCGGATCCACTTCATGAGAGGCGTATGGGATAATAATACGCATGCACAATGTATGATGCTTGAGACATATATGAAATTACCCGTATCGGATCTGATGTTTCCACCGTAATTAAGGTGTCCAATAGCTGACGAAGGTAAGATGCAAAAGAGAATGACGCTGGCTATCATCATGTTACCTGCTTACCGCCGAGTCTGTTCTGTATCTATATGCATATACGTTTGGGTAATTATGACGGATGTACCTCCAGCAAATTGAGGAATAGATGCACAATAAAACTGATGATGCATAACCATAGATAACGATTTTCAAAAGAAAGATAATAATTTTTCAAATATATGCACCTAATATCGACTAATGCAAACGTAGCATAGTGCTTAATCAACTTTCAACGAAATGAATCATAGCTGCATGTGATTATATATTGATTCTTTGACTATTAAAGTCATAAACAATTTCCTTTGTTTTATGTTTTATATATATGTGTGTGTGTGTGTTGTTAAACGCCGCACTCAGCAATATTCCAGCTATATGACGACTGTAAATTATCGCGTCTGGACCAGACAATCCAGTGATTGACAACATGAGCATCGACCCACGCAATTGGGATCGATGACATGCATCAACCAAGTAAGCGAGACTGACCATCCGATCACATTAGTTGCCTCTTACGACAAGCATAGTCGCCCTTAATGGCAAGCATGGGTTCCTAAAGACCTATTCTACCCCGGACCTTCACGGTGGATAGAGAAATAAGATTCAATATGATTGATAGACACAATGGTCCACAGCGATTATTCGACCTTTCTTAAAAGTGTCAAATCAGTAATAACACCCTGTGCACATCCCTACCGCCTGAGGCATGTGACAACTATAGCATGTGTTTTGGTGTTACGGGGCCGCCTCCGTGGTCGAGTGGTAGAGCGTCTTCCCGGAGAGCGGAAGGTAGGGGTTCAATCCCCGGCCGCATCATACCAAAAGACGTTAAAACATTGTACTTGTTACCCTGCCTGGCTTTCGACATTTAGGGGCTAAAACAAGAATTGGTCGGCTCGGAGTCCGTATACTGTGTCTGAGTGGGGTATTCATGTTAAACTGTGGCATGGTATCTCAGTGGGCTGGCACTTATCGGCATTTGTCCGGGCTAGTAGTCACATATATGAACGTACATGCAAGTTGCTATATAAGTGCAATAATCTTGGACGCAGCGTAAAACACCATTTCACCTCACCTCACCTTTGGTGTTAGGTTTTAAAGGTTTTTGAACAGGCCGTTTGTCGTCAACGCTTGCCTATGTTCTAATACTTGATATTAAATTCATATTTCATTATCCCCTAGTTTTAAGACTTTATAATAAAAAAGAATTGTGACCTCTAGTTCATAACTAAGTCTAAAAACTTAAATTACTAAAGGCCTAGTATCAACATGTTCAGAAATGTGTATTGCTTAAAACATTATAAGATGCAACGAAAGTTATAAAAAAATGTGATATAACTGTTATTTGCTATTATGCGGTTGTAGGATGGGTGTTTTGTTGATATGTGGTTGTAGGATGGGTGTTCTGTTAATATACGGTCGTAGGAGGTTGTTTTGCTGAATTACGGATGTAGGACGGGCATTTTTCTAATATATGGTTATAGGATGGTGTTTTGCTGATATATGGTTGTAGGATGGATGTTTTGCTTATATACGGTTGTAGGATGGGTGTTCTGTTGATATATGGTTGTAGGATGGATGTTTTGCTGGTATATGGTTGTAGGACGGGTGTTCTGTTGATATATGGTTGTAGGACGGGTGTTCTGTTGATATATGGTTGTAGGACGGGTGTTCTGTTGATATATGGTTGTTGGATGGGTGTTTTGCTGATATATGGTTGTAGGACGGGTGTTCTGTTGATATATGGTTGTTGGATGGGTGTTTTGCTGATATATGGTTGTAGGATGGGTGTTTTGCTGATATATGGTTGTAGGATGGGTGTTTTGCTGATATGTGGTTGTATGATGTGTGTTTTAGTGAGTTTTCCTGAGCTATAAAATAATCACTATTGATAAAATAAATTTGTTCTTGCCACAGGTTTCTTTGATGTGATGATAAGATAACTCCGCACGTAATCGTTCAGCCAGAAAGGTTGGATTACGTCCATGTTTTATGTACAGATACCCGCAGGTACAACGGGCAGCAGGTCCCTACTCCCTCCTTACCTGCAATCAGAGCCTTTGGAATGGCAATAATGTGGCTCATTAATTAAAATTGTGTCCCAACTCACGCATGCGCACTATATGATAAAACAAATGTGGAATATATTATGCATCTCAAATTATGAGAAACATTCAACACTGAAAAACCAATACATCATCCTCGATAGAATGTTAATACTTGCCACATCGTCTTACCGTTCTAAATGTCACATTAGAGATCGTTTTCATTATAATTGCAATACAATTTCAAACTTAAGAACCATGAAATATTTGATTCGCGAGTGAGTGAGTGAGTGAGTGAGTGAGTGAGTGTCAACGCCAAGTGCCAGGTACATGTTTGAGGAAACCTGGAAGTGATGCCGGTAGTACATGTTTTAGACTGTAAGGTCCTGACAAATCTAGAAACATAATTAGGGAGAGGGTAGAAACCCACGAGCATATAGGACATAATGTTGGAGTAATGTTTACATGGAAAAGTAAAGGTCATTAGACATAGTATCCATACAAACGTCGCTGACGCGAGACATGTGGAAATGATATATTTGAGTGCTCTAAACCAAAGCTGTATTTATATTTCCGAAACCTGTCGATAATTCCAAGTAAGCAAAATAACCAAGTACATTCATCGAAAATAATTAGTCTACATAACCTTACGTTGTAGAATCATGTACTAAAAAGTGAGTACTGTGTAGGGGGGCGATATGATATAATTTAAACTGTGTTCAACAACAATGTCACCTGGAAATAGGTTGTTTGTTATCCGCTGTGCATCTATCTAATAACATATAAATTACTAGACTATTACCTGCCTCAAGGTAAAAACGTATGGTCTGTTAAGGAATGTGTTAAATAGCTTATTTTGGATTAAGCCTTAAGCTCGTTCAGATCCTGTTCGCACCGGAATGAACGTGTCAGTGCACACGGTAGGGTCAGTACGTGCGATCTGTTATCAAACGTTGTGTGACGTGAGTCAAACGAGGTTACCACATTTCTGGCAACCAGGTTTGACTAGATTCAAATGTGTTAACCAGTGTTAATCATGGATACTTTAGGGCAGTACCCGAAATATAACGCATAAAATGCAACTTTAGATGTAATACAGAATGGCTGCCAGACGACGGCGAAACATAACAACCATTTGTTTTGAAAAACGCACAAGTGTTTTGTGAGAGACACATCTGCATTTCTATGCCATTTCTAATGCGTATAAACCGTCAAGAAAGTTCAGCAGGACGCGACCAGAACATCAAACAGAGATGCAGAATTATAAACAAAGTTACATTCTTGATTCTTAAATATTTATATCACCAATCAAAAATTAATTTCAAGCTGCTGCCATCCACAGGAAGTCCGTTCCATAGAGCAGCGCCAGTTCTGCTAAAGGTTCTGCTTCTTTACGTTGTTGTCCGGGGTGCCGTTGTACAAAACAACCTTAGCCCTACGACTGTCGAACGTCTATGTGTAGGTATGGGAGCAAAGACCGCTTTGTACAACGGCACGAACATCTGTTGTTGGCATGCAATTCGTAATGCCTTTCCAGGTTGGTTTAAACCGTCTACGTTCTTGTAGGTACACTGAAGCCAGACTATGGAGTGATTTGTAGATACCAACAGCTTGAACATGATTTTCTGTCTTTCTGGTAGCCTACGCAGTTCTTTGAGGACCGGTGTTATATGGTATCGTATGACATCGAATGATGGGAGTGGCAGCTGTCCTGATGCCACACTGTTGCAATGGTCTAACCTTGAAGAGACAAATGCATGGACTGAGCATTTGAGTCTTTGTCCACATATCTACTTATTTTTCTGATAGTCCTTATCTGATGTTACGCTTTGTTGCACATGTTATTAACACGACTTCTCACACTGAATGTTGAATCAATGATAACGCCTATATTTCTTTGTGCAGCATCAGTTCTGAACGGCCAATGACGATTTCAGTTTTTTCATTCCCTTTGAGAAGGGTTCCATTTTTTATGTCAAAGATGCAGGCTGTATGACGCGAATGAGTTAACTTGTGCTAATTAACATTGGTTAGACCATGGTCAACACGGGTTAACCTGGGTCGTCGAGGGTTTCGAAATGGAACGCCATTCCAGCAAGATAGTCTTATCTGATTTAGCAATTAACTGGAAAAGCGGGTAAATGATAAATCTTCGTAAATATGATAAAAGTAGAGAACGAAGATATATTAAGATTGTTTTCAAAACTGAGAGAAGCACTAGTCGAATCGAACTCATCTTAGTATGTGCGGTGTCTTCATTATTTGCACATACGAGACCAACTTCTCCCTGGCAGCTCGCAAATATTTCTTTCAACAAAACCAAAGCCAATTTGTATATCTTTAAGTCATACAATGCAACCGTATCGATTGATGACCATTTACAAAACAAAATAACATTAAAAGTATTACATATATATACAACTTCTAATCAGTTGACGGAATTTTCGAAAGGTTAATATATGCTATGGTTTGTATAACCCATGAGAAGACGAAAGTTGAGAACGAAGTCCGGCCAGGCGGCCTCGTGAGATTCGATTTGTATGACATCTTCACCACTTTCTGGTTGATGGTATGATATCGTTGTTCTCCGGAATGCGGAGGGCGACTCAGATTCATATCGGTGCGAATTTACCGTTTATTAATCGCCTACCGACCCCGGGCGAAACAGTGTACCTTCAACCCTGTGGCATACGTCAAACGTGCCTACGAAAGGGTCCCCATTCCCCTTACCCTGAACTCGGCCATTTTGTTTTTAAGCGACCTCGTTTTTTCTCTCCGGTTCGAATCTCTGGAACAAGTCAGTACGTTACAAAATATGGTGGTACGCACTCTGACGGTATTTCTGGTCCGAATAGGTCCCAAGTACCTCAGCTCATGTTTATCGTAAGAGCTGACCAAAATGGGGATCGGAAGGTCAGACTTTGTAACTTGGCTGGTTGTATAACAACGTCCTCCGATGGCTTCAGACGTTGGCCTTGCTATCAACATTTGTTTGTTTGTTTAGAAAGGCTTTTTCAGCGCAATTACTCACAAGTCAACTTAAACATCGTTCATAAGTCAAGTGCTATATCACAATATGATAGCATTAAACAATATCAGAGTAACGGTATTGGTCAGTGTTTCTTTGTACAACCTCTGCTTTGCACCTCATTCGTAGCCTCTTGTGTATGCATAGAACACAATGGAAGCCTACATTGAGTTCATGTTGCAGATAATTCTCCTTTCTCGCAACACAAATTAATTTTCCAGGTCAATAATGTTGTTTGGAAAAAGTACGTGAATCTACAGTGGTTCGATCTGCTTCACGCGATGTGCATGTGACTGTATCTGAAACGTTCACCGTTTTAAAGAAATACTAAACCAGCTGCAGTTACCTCCCTTCCACAAGCACGCCCACCGCGAACAAGGAAGTGAGTGAGTGTAGCAGGATAGACGAACATTATTGGTGCAAGGGTGAGGCCCTTAGTCAGTAGTATTTGTGAACCACATGTTTAACAATATTGGAGAGAATTTCTACTTCAATGGTCGCATTTTCAGCCAAATGATGTGCAATGTTAAATCTCAAAAGACATGCTTGAACGAACACATGGCTGTACAGCTCAGTGATTCAGCCCACCTTGCACGAAATGAACTAAACCGTTATCTGATGTGAAGGCCATCTATTTTATCACTTTGTTTATGAAAAACACATTCTTGTCACGATCGAAGAAAAAATATAATTGAAACTTTAAAAGACGTTTTGGGGACAACAAACTTTCTTTTTAAAGTAAGGTCAATGGATTACTTTCCTTCCTAATATTGATCCACTTTGAAGTGTTGTCGTTTGTTTGTTTGTTTGTTGTTTAACGCCGCACTAAGCAATATTCCTGCTATATGACGGCGGTCTGTAAATAATCGAGTCTGGACCAGTGGTGACTGGCATCATGAAGCATCGATCCACGCTATTCGGATCAATGTGAAGTGTTTTCCACACCGAGGATTGTTTGACCCATCAGGAAGAAGACTTTGACATAGTTTAAATTGTATTTCTCCAAATTATGAAACGTCTATAAAACTGACGACTAATCATTGCGGCGTGGGTCGATGCTCATGGTTCCAAAAGTGACTGGCTTTGCCCAGATCTACGTATTTACAGATCGTCGAGATATTGCTCGAATATTACTCGCCGACTGTTACTATCTGTGCGAATTTGCCGAAAGTGTCCATGTTGTGACATGAATTTAGTATGTAACTCAACGAGGGAGTCTCTAACCGTCGTTAAGCAGGCAACGTCCGCCCGGAGAGCGGAAGGTCCGGGGTTCGATCCCCAGCCGCTTCATACCAAAAGACGTTAAAAGATGGTACTTGTTGTTACCCTGTCTGGCGCTCGGCATTAAGGGGCTAAAACAAGGACTGGTCGGCTCGGAAACAGTATACTGTGTCTGTATACTGTATACTGGGTATTCATGTTAAACTGCGGCATTGTGTCTCGTGTGCTAGCACTATAAATCGGCATCAGTCCGGACTAGTACAATCAGCCACACACACATACACGTGCCTGCACGTCGCTATATAAGTGCAATAATCTTGGACGCGACGTTAAACCCCATTTCACCTCACCTCACCTCACCGTTAAGCAGGCACACTGTATTGTAATAACATGTTGTGCAAGTCGGCGCTAAAACTCACTAACTCAATATATGATTTACAGAGGAAGGAATACAAACATGTCAGGAAGGCGCACATCTAGCAGGCTGAAGATCATGACAAGGTCCTCGTCAAAGTCCTTGGAAAAGTCCCCACCAAAACCGACTCCATACTCACGAAATGGAAGGAAATGCGCATCAAAAGGTATTATATCATGTTCACGAAATGGAAGGAAATGCGCATCAAAAGGTATTATATCATGTGATAAAACAACTGTCTCCATGTCGAGTTAACAAAAACTAAAATGATTTTATCATCAAACATGTTATGGGGTCTCGACCCTGCAGGATTTGAGAAGGCGGCCAACAAGGCTCTTGCTCAAAAGTAGATTGATCAGGTTTACAACATCGAAGGTCTCAGTAAAACTTTTGCAATGTTTTATGGGAGAATGTGGATGACCCATCCGAATTTGATGCATCTGTGTCCATGATAATGTCTGATACAATTCCATATTTTGACTGACCGCTTTCCCTTTTTGGGTTCAGGTTATCACTTGACTTGCCTTTGCATGTGTTTGTGACAGGGTCACCTTTACGCGAACACCTGGTATGATCACTATTTAAAGTGATTCAAAAAACACTTGCTTACTCTATTGCCGGAATTGTATAAAGGACTCTGCTTTAAGCAGCGATTTCACATTCAGGGTTATGGCAAGGGGTTTGTCGTTTTAATTGAGCAAGTGGCGGCCACAACGAGGTGAGGTGAAATTGGGTTGTGTGTGTGTGTGTGTGTGTGTGTGTGTGTGTGTGTGTGTGTGGCTGATTGTACTTGTCTGGACTGATGCCGATTTATAGTGCGGGCCCACTGAGATGCTATGCCGCAGTTTAACATGAATAGCCCACTCAGACACAATATACTGACTCCGAGCCGACCAGTCCTTGTTTTAGCCCTTAATGTCGAGTGCCAGACAGGGTAACAACAAGTACCATCTTTTAACGTCTTTTGGTATGACGCGGCCGGGGATCGAAGCCCGGACCTTCGTCTCCCATGACCATGGAGGAAAGTGAATGATTTATTCTACCTACCTTGACCAATTAAGCATTTATTTCATGTTTATGGAGTGTGCTTCCGTGATTATATCACAAATTAGATGATGATTTCACCCATCCTTGAACTTGAGTGTAAGTATTTTATAAAAAGTTAAATGCATTACTCTTGAAAAAATCTGAAAACAGAAACAAAATAATTTTATAATCATATTTTATAATTTTACAGAACGGAACTGACAGCCAATGTATTGTGTATAGTTCTAATATTGACGTTGATTGCGATGAGGATTGTTGCTCTCAATATCAGTCACTGGTTTGCTAGTGGTCCAGATTATTTTCAGGCCGTTGTCATGGATCAGTAATATTTCCATGTACGTGGGGGCACGGGTGGCCCAGTTGTATAAGGCGCCGCGATTCGCTGTGCAGAGTTGCGTCCCTTGGGCACGCCATGGCCAGAAACCTATGATTGTGTATTCGAATTCCGGTTCGCCCCAATTATATTTCTAGGTTTGTCAGCACTATACCCGTGCTCGTGGGTTTCCCCGAAGTGGTAAACGTCAGAGACCTGCGTCACTTCGGGTTTTCCTCCCACATTAAGCTGACACGCAGCGATATAACTGGAATACTGTTAAGAGCGGCGTTAAACCCAACTCACTCACTCACTATTTCCATGTATGGCTTTAAACGACATTAAGCAGTTAACCTTGCAAGGAGCTGTAGGAATCAGAACGATGCTTTGTTTTCAGCACCATAGCAGTGCTCGAATGTTTCAACTGATCAGTACACGTCAACAACATGCAAAGCGTTGGCTGAGATACTGTACACGGCATTAATCATGATTCACTCTCACCCACAGATCCAAATGGACAGGTCCATAACAGACCAGCTGACGCAGAACATCCGAATGATACATCGAAGACCTCGAACTCGACTAAAGGTAAACCTTCCAGTAAAGAATCACCTGCTGGACCACCTAATCAACCAAACATTGCACCAGGAAGATGCGAACTTGTAGAAGTGATTGAAAACACACAAGGCTGCCGCACCGGTAGCTTGGTAACTATGGATGTCTTGGTGATAACGCACGAGGACGCCACTGTTATACTGACAACGGACAGAGACAACAGTTCTGTAAACGCTTTGTTCAGAGAGGGCGTGGAGGAGAGGACGAGTTCACTCCCCCTGAGTCATTGTCTGACGAACTTCACTGTCATCGAGGACAATCTGGTGGCTGCTGGTAGGTGGTAATAATAAAATACGATAATAAATCCATTTATAATGCAACATCATGCAGCCACGTTATTCGTACACTGGTAATTGGACCTGTATGTACTCATATGGCCCAGCTGTCTAAGGCGCCTGTGCAGAGTTGCGTCCCTTGGGCACCTATGATTGTGGGTTCGAATCCCGATTCACCCCGATTATGATTCTAGGTTTGTCAGCTCCATACCCGCGCTCGTGGGTTTCACCGAAATGGTAAACGTATAAGACCTGCATCACTTCGGGCTTTCCTCCCACATTAAGCTGACACGCCGTGATATACCTGGAATACTGTTAAAAGCGGCGTTAAACCCAACGCACTCACTGTTATCCGAGAATGTAATTTCTCTAGGTTAACACATATTTTCATACTTGAACATCTTTTGAAACAATTAGGCTACCATATGAAAAAAATCGGTATTATCTATTTTTTTTATAAGTTAGAAGGTATATATAGGTCGAATCTTTAATTATAATAATTATGTATTTTATTATTGTGATTTCCCAATCATCCCGCTAACATAAATAATTGTTTCAAAACGCCTACCCGTGATTTGTCACGACATCATTGCGGGTTGTCAGGACGGGTTGCCTCCAAAGGTGCAACTCCGGATTAAATAGTAATCCTGAAAATGCTGATCCGGTACCGAAACAAGAAATATGTCTTTTGCGGTCTTAACGGAAATTAGGGGGAAATGTTGGAAACAGTAATTATTATTCTTTCTGTCACAACTTGAGGGCATACCATTCTTATTATCATTGGGTGAATAATTTTTTTATTTCCATATGTTATACTATCATTGATTTCGGGGAGGAATGACATACCTTTCCTTTCGTATTTATACCGTTACTACGAATAAATGAGTGACTGAGTGAGTTGGGTTTAACGCCGCTTTTAAGAGTATTCCAGTTATATCACGGCGTGTTAGCTTAATGTGGGAGGAAAGCCCGAAGTGATGCAGGTCTCAGACGTTAACTAGTTCGGTGAAACCCACGAGCACGGGTATGGTGCTGACAAACCTAGAAACATAATCGGGGCGAACTGGGATTCGAACACACAATCATAGGTTTCTGGCGTGCCCAAGGGACGCAACTCTGCATAGCGAATCGCGGCACCTTAGACGACTGGGCCACCCGTGGCCCCTACTGCGAATAAAAGATTGTACCCGTCGTGGTATCACACCTACAGCACGACCAGTCATTTAAAGATCCCAGATACGCAATGATACAGATCCTCGGTTTGTCCGAGACATGCCCGTGAAATGGAGGACTTTGACTTGTGTCACTTTAGGCTTTTCTGTCGCATTAAGCTGACTCGCCACTGCATAACTTAACTAGGTTAAGTCGAATTTTCTCACTTGCTCATTTATAAGGACCGATCTCATGACATGATCCATCAAATTTCTTGTCCGTCCACCATCTACAGTAATCTACGTTTATAATGAACACGCTTATAACGAACTAAGGGATATAACGAACTTTATTTTGATCCCGACCATTTGCTGTATATATTTTGTATACGTGTATATGTTTGGGTTTTTTTAACGAACAACGATTATAACGAACTAAGATTGGTGGTCCCTTTTGGTTCGCTGTAACCGTAGTTTACTGTATTTCAATATTTGCGTACATGATGCCTTTTACCCCAAACACCTTATACGCTTATAACGAACTAAGGGATATAACGAACTTTATTTTAATCACGGCCATTTGCTGTATATATTTTGTATACGTGTATATGGTGTGTTTTTTTATTATAACAAATTGTAATTAGTGGTCCCTTTTAGTTCGTTAAAACCGTAGTTTACTGTATTTCAGTATTTGCGTACATGATGCCTTTTACCCGAAACACCTTTAGGCATAATTAATAATCATATTCTATCCTACTCATTGATGTAATAATACCCAACAGAGTGGAACCAAGAGAGTGAAAAATGGCATGCCCACAGAAAAATTGCAATCAACGTGAATAAATACACATTACAGTAAACTGTAACGGTTATAACGAACTCAAAGGGACCACTAATTTAAGTTCGTTATAACCGTAGTTCGTTATAAGCAGATATACAGCATATATGCAACAAATGGTCGGGACTATAAAATAAGTTCGTTACTGTAGTTAATACTTGATCACTGCGTTTGATATTTTATGTTTCAGGTGTGTGGTGCCTTGCCAAAATAATAGTTTTCAAAGTATTCCCTGATCTGGATCTTCAGCGCACCATTGAAACAAGTACACGATACTCCTGTATTGCATTCCTCTCTCCTGGAACAATGGTTGGAAGTTATGTCCAAAAAGCCGGAGTGGAAATCTTTGATATGTCTGGAAATGTCCTCAGGAAATTTGACGTTATCCATATTGACGAACCCTACAGCCTGTGCACTTTCAATGGCAACTGTATAGTGGGAGATACGAAGAAACGAGCAATCATGAGTTTCAATGATATGGGTAATATGCAGTTTAAGTACCCACCAAGAGGGGGGAAGAAATTTGTTGGGCTGTTGACAGTGACGGCTCACAGAGGCTACATCTATGCTGCTGACAGAAAGGGCAACAGAGTAGTTCAGTTGACCGTAGATGGGAAGTTCGTGAGAGATGTCCTGACTGCAGAGGATGGTATCGAGGAGCCACAAGGTATCTGTATCACTGATGACAACCTCCTATATGTCTCAGTGATCTACAGCTACATTAAGGTGTTTCGTATTGGATGACATTGTTTATGTACATTTCCACTTTCTCGTTGTGCACGGATTTTATAATAGGCTCCAGCAATACCAGGGCGCATCCTACTTAGCTGTATTCTTCATGCAAGCGTACTCTTTCTTATTGTGTCCTTTTTAGTTACGGCTTCAAATTATGATATTCGAAATATTATTGTCTATACAGAAATCGGGTGCTACATTGCAAGTAGCTGTGCGTACATACACTGAACTTGAAATGGGTACCTGTGATCATATACATGTACATATATCGGTAACTGAAAGAGTGTGATGATTAAGATGATATGGACCATAGTTTTACATATATGTCACTGTTCTGTGGTCACAGCAAACCATGATGGCTTGACGCCACGCCTCACATGTTCTTTCCGTTGCAAGCTTTTGTACATCTGCAAGAAATATAACCAGATATTTCACCTTACCTGTGTGAGTGTTTTTAATAAAAAAATGTTTTAAAAACTTATACACTTGTATCGGGTCCATTTTCAGGCCGGTTAGTAAAACCTAAAAACAATATAATTATTCATTATCATAAGAAATCGTATAGACTTGTACGATCCTGACTATATCATAAATTTATTTCCAAACAGCTTAGCAAGAAGGGGGAGCACAAATGGAGCCCTTTGGAATGTCTATATTTAGCATAAATGGCTCATATCTAAATTTCACATATCTTATAGGTGTGCCTTTCAGGAAGGCCGACATTTCAGTATAGTTTTCTTGCTCTCATTTTTTACACAGTGTCCTGAAGCTCTTAAGATAGAGATGGTCACCACGTTTAGGAACAAATGCCCCAAGGATCAAGGAATGGAGTTTTTCATTAAGTTTGTCATGTGGGATAGGGGGTACAATGTTGAAAAATTTATGTTTTGACAGTACTGAACTTGGTTCTAATTAGAGATTTTATACGTTCAAGCAAATCCTTAGAGTAATTGAGGATCGATATTGTATAAATTCTACAGCAAGAGGATGTGCAGTGTCAAAACTCAGACACCCTTGAACGAACACATCCTTCATTTCAACTGGCTTTGCACGAACCAAACCGCGTTTTCTCGTCATAAGGCCATCTGGTTTATTACGTTGTTTCTCAAAAAACATTTTAGTCACAATAAAAGAAAAATGAAATTATAAATTGGCGAGGTAAAGGAACAAATCGAAGGGGTCTTGAATGGTTCTTGTTTATTCAAGTCTGAAGCAGTGAAGACACAAGCATGATAAAATAAACTTCCTGTCCATACAGCGCCGAATAAGGCGTACTTATCTGCTACATACATGTATGAATGAACGCTAACTGTAATGAGTCATCATCAATAATGATTTACATCAGCTGTAACTTACAAATATTCCCCTTCAACAGCAAAAGAAAACCGGCATTATGCCCACCACGCAAGTACGGTTATCGCGCTTGCTCACAAAGAACCGTAACTCTAATTGACTGTTAATTAATGACGTCGTGAATGTCAACATGCGCGCAACACTGGTTCGAGTCGCACCCATACAACGCAACCTAAACATACTTTTCTTTTCCCTTTTTTTCACATGTTTTACATGCATAACAAACATCAAAATATTCAACACCTCTAGCATAAGAAAGTACTTCCTTAAGTACATGAAAATCAACACAGCATCAACTCAGAAGCCCATACAAAGTAAATACGTGTACATTAATGTTGTAAGTGCAACATAAATTATGAACAAAAAAAGTTTATTATAATATGTATTACTTCCCTTCCTAATATTGATAAACTTTGACGATATTCGACATTGTTAAGTGTGCCCCGTGATAACAGACCAGATGAGTGTCTGTCGTCGATTGTCAATATCTCGTAGATTTCGTCTCGTCTAGAACTAATGGATCTTAAATTCTGGTATGTACCCAGAAATATAAAATTCGGTCCAGGGACAGAGCTCTCAGTAAATGGATAACTTTATACATTGCAGGGTGATATGCGTTTGTTTGTTGGTTAACAAACTATATCCTGTTGGTCTGTAAACACTCGAATGTGGATCAGGCAATCTACTGATAGATAGCATGAGCAACGTTCCACACCGTCCGAACGCGAGCCTGGGCTACCGAGCTTGTCTCCTACGACAAACGTAGGTTACCGGGATCTCCACAGGCAGGGGGCCTTTAATGCACAGAGGATATATGCAAAAACGTCCCTCAGTGCGGAAACAACACTGCACTGTAGAACCAGTCACTTTTCCCCAATCTCTCGCCCCTGTTTTCTCGGTGTCGAAGCATGTCAAATACATGTTAATACAATACTTTTTAAAAGCTAATAGTCTTCAAAGGAAATAACATATGAGTTCTCATAGTGAAAACAAAAACTTTACTGCAAAGCCTTTTGGAATATATAATCATGTAAATTGCGTGGGGATTCCGGGTCATAAAAGGCAAACAGTCCCCTGTGCTTGTCGTAAGCACCAACGAAAATGTAATACTGGTTTTGTCAATGTATGACAAGTGATTGCCTTTCATTTGTACCAAGACACACGTATTCACAGATCGTGGTGATGTTGTCTGGGATATGTTTGCATAATTGTCGTACCGAAGTCAAAGTGTCTACATATCCTGGGCAAGAGCAAGGCCAACGATGTATGTACCAAACTCAACGAGCTAGTTTGCCACCTACATTATGGAGCCAGGGAATACGATCATGGCAGGAGAGCGCACATCTAGCAGGCTGAAGATCCTGACAAGGTCCTCATTAAAGTCCTCGAAAAGATCCTCGGCAAAGTCCCCGGCAAAATTCACCCCATTCTCACGCCCTGGGAGGAAATGCGCCTTCAATGGATATTTTTGACAATGAAGCGTCAAACCTGTTGATGAAAATATTAAACAAATGTCTCCATGTCGAGTTAACAAAAACTGAAAATTATTTTGATATCAAACACCCAGCAGGACCTGGACCTTACAGGATTTGAGAATACAGCGAACAAGGCTTCAACGTTCTATTCTTACAGATGCTGACTTTCGACTTTTGAAGATGCCCATCAAAGGTTTGTGATCAGTGATTATCTTGAAGTTTTAAACATAAGTGTACAGGTGAAGATTGCCTGCAGCCCATACAACAACCAACTCCTCAAACTCAGTTTGTGAATACCTGGTGTCGGTGTCAGATCACGCACACCTGCAGGACTGGCGTCAACAAATAATTCAATATTTTTCTTGGATAAAAGTGGATCTGACTTTCGTGGAACTGAGTGCATCTTTGAGACGCCGTGTGAATGCTTGGATTTCAGGTTTCTTCAACTTCCATGTTATATTTTGACGTGTTATCTTTTGTTGGGGTTCAAGGATAGTGGCAAAGTCAGGGGCGAATCTAGGCAAATTCTGTGGCATACCAAGCAATGATTTAACTTCACTCGGTGTTGATGGTGCTGGTTTATTTATGATTGACTTTATCTTTTCAGGATCTGGAGACATGCCACTCTTTCCGAATACATGACCAAATCTTGTGACCTCCGACTTCGAAAACTCACATTTTGATTTGTTCAGAGTAACGACATTTTCTTCGCGTCGCTAGTGAACTGTCCACTGAGTGTCATCATGCTGTTTCTCTATTTTGCCATGAACAATACTATCACCAGCGATATTCCGACTTCCAGGAATATCTTGTGTGTCATCAGCTCTCACATTCTGAAATATTTCTGAGGCCGTGTTGATTCCAAAAGACAACATCAGTATTGAAAGTAGTGATAAATCTGCTATCTGGGTGCAGCTCTTACTGGTGATATCCAGCATTAAGGCCAATCTTAAATACAGTGGAACCATTTAAGTCAGAAATCAGATCATTTGTGGTCGGTGTGATATTTCTCTCTTCTGATTGCGACGGTTGTCTCTCTCATGTCAACACAGGTAGTTTAACAACACCAATTACTGGCAATGGTGTGTCTGACCCATACGAGTACAACCTGTGTCTGGTATCGGCCCTTGAAGATCCGGGGTAGAATAGGTATTCAGCAACCTGTCGTAAGAGGCGACTATGCTTGTCGTAAGAGGCGACTAACGGAATCGGGTGGTCAGGCTCGCTGACTTGGTTGATGCATGTCATCGATCCCAATTGCGTGGATCGACGTTCATGATATAAATCACTGGATTGTCTGGTCCAGACTCGATTATTTACAGACCGCCGTCATATAGCTGGAATATTGCTGAGTGCGGCGTTAAGCAAGCAACCAACCAACCCTTAAAGCAGATCCATCTCGCTTGAGCACATCCCAAATATTTTGGGCCATAATGTCACATGATGCTCCAGAGTCAAGAATGACAGGTTTTTCCTCCAGCAATGTCAACAGACTTCACAGGCATGTTTGTCCGATTGTTGTCTGCAGGTGAATTGATTAAGCGTTTATAGTATACAAATGTCACTTCATTAAAATTCTTTCTCAGATGAAATCAGACCTATATCACCCAGATCGACAATAGCATACAAATAGTCTTCTTTTTTTCTATCAGCATCTGACCGCCTCCGTGGTCTAGTGGTAGAACGGAAGGTTCGGGGTTCGATCCCCGCCTGGGCTAAAACAAGGCCTGGTCGGTTCGGAGTCTGTAAACTGTGTCTAAATGGGGTAATCATGGTATCTCAGTGGGCTAGCACTATAAAATCGGCCTTAGTCCGGTCTAATACAAGCAGCAACACACACACGCGTTCATGCACGTCGCTATATAAGTGCAATAATCTTGGACGGATCGTTGAACCCCATTTCACCTAACCACCCTCTGTAGCATCAGAATGCGAAGCATTCATAAAATCATTATAAAAAAACTACTTGGTCACGCCATTAAGACTTGAAACGTGAACGACACACACGTGAGAAATGATTTAGAATTTAACATTCACTACATGTCTTTGTGCAGGACATTTAACATAATGAAAGTCGGTATTGAAAGCCGCAAAGAAAATCATAGATTGTCCATTTTGTGTTGGTTTTGTGACCGTCGTTGATTTCGTGACGCTTGTGGTTGTCATTTTGGTCTTGTCATTGACTGAGTCCTCTTTTTGCAGCATTTTCCTTATCAACGTTATCAAAGTTACACGATTTCGCAATCTGCTGAAGACGTGTACAACATGCATCAATGTTTTCTCCATCACGCTGTTTTGCATTTCGAAAATTATGAAGTTCAAATGCAGTATTGACAACCGTTGTGAAATATTCAGTCATTTTAGCTTTGGCAGTTTCATAATCGTCATCATTACCTGTCCATCTATTGTGTCAAATATTTCATCCAAATTTTGTCCAGCCATTTTGTCCGGCGCGATCCCGCGTTAGCATCCGCATGCACATCCAAACTTGAGAAAGACGAGAGATTTGTAGCCATTTCAAATACTCCACCAATATCCTCGGCATAAAGACATCTGTGTTGCTTGTAACACTCTGTGATATTTTGATACACTGCTTTGGACTTACAAGATGGCGGCCACGCGTCTCGTGTATGACGGCAAATTATGACATCAC